CACTTATAATCCATCCACCAAAGACCTGGTTTTTTTGTTAATGCGAAGAGAATACTCCTGTATTTCCTGTTGTGTTGCACTCACTGACAATCTAGCAGATTTTTCCAACTGCGCACAGAAATGATTGTATATAAGTGAAAAGGCTGTTTTATACTACTGGGATTAACATTTATCAAGTGTATGTATAATCTCCAGCGAACATGTAAAGCATATCTTGCTACTGCCTGTAAATTGTGATTGAATTATATGGTTCTATTTCTGTTACAAACTGGCGTCCTTCATGTACTGTACTATGAGAATAAATTTATTTATTTATATGGAGGAATTACTTCAAGCTTTATTTTTTTCCCAAGTATTTGTAATCCATCCAAAACACACTTGGGTTTTTTTTGTTAATGCGAAGACAATACTTCTATATTTCTTGATGTGCTCCATTGAATGACTAGTTATCATATTGTTCCCATAGACAAAATTACTGCAACCTTATAATTTTACCATGAACCAAATTTATGTAATTTAAATAATACTTATCCATGCCTGTACAATTGGTGTGTCCTACACAGGTAGGAAAAAATGTATTTAATGAAATTACTATTATTAAATATGTTTACTAATCGTATATGTAATTTATCATATTGATGATGCCTGTAAACTGGCGTCCCTCATGTACAAAATGAGAATATACTATTATTTATTTATTTAAAAATGCAAAAATAAGTGATTTGATAGGATGATAGATACTTAACAGATGGTCATTTGCATGGTGGTTGTGGCGTACTGTTACCATGATATCTACCTCACTGAAATGTACAACTCATTATACCTTTTGGTTTGTGCATTCCAATCAAGGAAAATAGACTTGTGGTGAGCATTTCATTTACTGTCAAAGTTCTGCGGACACCAGTGTTTAGCGCTCTTCCTTCAATGTGTAAGCCGAAGCAAGAAATGTTAGGATTTAAGAAACTCGAATTGTGACACTAATATGTGCATTCATCTTCTTCGTAGCACCTCAAATGACTATCTACAACATCAGTGAATTTCCAGTAAGCAAGAATGCATTTGCCAAAGTCTCATTAAATATGAAATGTTACTCAGAACTACTGGAATAATTTTCTGAAACTAAAGGTAATGCATGGATTTATTTTGCTGCTTATGCTGCTCTGCAAAAGCCATTTGCCAATGTATTTTGCAGATAGCTGCCAAATAAAATAGAAGTATAAGACAACTCCACCATTCTATCAAAGTGGCTGACTCGTCTGTTTTTGGCTGCTCCTTAAATCACCCACTTAATATGGTGCATTAACATGTTAATAATAATAATTCATATTTTCATATCAACATAAATTTACATGAAAATGCATGCCATTTTTACAGGCACAATGTCAAATAGTAGATTGTCTACAAGTTAGTACTGTTTGAACAGCTAAATATTTGGTATATGTATATATACACTCTTTGTCTGACCCATGTCCTATCATTATTGAATTAAACTGCAGTCCTCCAGGTTGCGCAGGAAAATCGACTTCATTTCGTTTTCAACCCGTAGTTGTAGGCATACGATAACCAACCAATTTTGAGGTAAGTACAACGTTTACAAGGGATAGTAAGCTGTTTTAGAAAAGTAAAGGTGCAAAGGTGAATTATTAAAGTGTAATGTAATAGGTAAATGCAATGTATAACTAATAGACGCATTCATAAAGGAAATACAATGGGAGACTATAATCCCTAGGCTGACAAAGTTCCTTTGCAATATATAATGCTACCCATATAGGTCTTACTATCATGATGTCCACTTCAGGTTTTAATACATTTATCCACAAGGCGGTTGTTTTTATTTTATACCTTTTTGTGTATTTCGTGCACCCTATAGAGGATAGGAATAGAATAAGTCGAATCGAATTCATAAAGAGCCATAAAATGTTAGGTTTAATGAAATATAATGAGCAGCAAGTGAAGACATTATTAGAAACTGAATGAGGTGAGACATTGTGGAGTGATATTCAATGATTCAGCAAAGGAAAGCAAGTTAATTTATAAGATGCCCCACAAATCTGTGCAGAGCCCACGCGGTCGCATCTCAACAATAGGCTGAGCGAATGGTATATGTTCAAAGGTAGAAGCACAATCTGCCTAGGCGATCATCATTGTCTTTTTCAAGATAAAGATTCAAACCCTCATAGAAATCTCGAACCGTCAAATGGCATATTGCTGTTCCCGCAGAATGGAGCGATTCACCTTAGTGACCACCACCATATCTACTGATCAGCATGCGCCACGCACCCTCCTTTTATGATGTTAGGCTCTGATTGTTATGGCTATAGCAAATATATTGCTTGGTGCCAGACATGTTCGTACCTCACATCCCATTTCCCTAGCTTTCTTAGTGAGTGCTTCCAATAGATCTCCACATACAGATTTATGAACATATTATGTATGTGTGCATGCGTCTTAGTGAACAGATTAGTTTATAAGATGTTAAAACCTTAAAGAGTAAAAAGAACAGGTTTTGTGAATAGTGTAGCAAGATACAGCAGAACACTATAAATAAACAAATAAATAAATTTATTCTCATAGTACAGTACATGAGGGACGCCAGTTTGTAACAGAAATAGAACCATATAATTCAATCACAATTTACAGGCAGTAGCAAGATATGCTTTACATGTCCGCTGGAGATTATACATACACTTGATAAATGTTAATCCCAGTAGTATAAAACAGCCTTTTCACTTATATACAATCATTTCTGTGCGCAGTTGGAAAAATCTGCTAGATTGTCAGTGAGTGCAACACAACAGGAAATACAGGAGTATTCTCTTCGCATTAACAAAAAAACCAGGTCTTTGGTGGATGGATTATAAGTGCCTGGGAAAAAAATAAAGCTTGAAGTAAATATTCATACATAACTTTGTTGTGTGCAGGGTCCTCGAATCATAGTTCATTGATGTGTTATTTTGGAATCAGTGATGTGTTTATCTCATTTGATCTGCATTGTCATTGTTGGGAGCAAGTACATAAGCTTCGGACGCATTAATTAATGGATTTCTACTGCTTGTGGGCATTTTCTTAGCGTGAGGAAGGTTTATGAAATTCAGCTGTTCCGACAGGAGTTGAGAATATTAACTGCTCAGCAACATTATGGATATAAGTTCATCACATTATCTAAGGAAAGGTGGGTTGCAGTTGGTGAGGGATATATGGTGCCCAACGAGCGTTCATCTGTCCATGTGATGTTGTGGTGAGTTATACATTTTTCATGTTGTCGGTTTATGTCCATTTAATTCCACTTATTGTGTTGGGTAGTAGTTTTACAAACGAGATTTCTTGTCTGTTTGAGGACACGTATCTTAACCGTTAATGTTTTATCTAGAATTATGAATATAGGCAAAAAACAACAACAGGTGTAGTATTTAAGCTTACACATTAAATGGACCTATAATTTCGGAGGCTCTCAGATAGGAACTAGAACTACTATCGTTTGCAAACTCTTGTAGTTTGTCACTAAGCACCTTTTTGAATGAGGCCAATGTACTTGCTTGACGCATTTCCATTGGTAGTTTATTCCATATCTGTGCATACCTAATCAAGTAAATATTTTGCCTGGTGGCTGTTTTACATTGTTCGATAGCTACTGTACCCTTAGTGTGTCTTAGTTTGTAGCCATTATCATCTGAAAGTCGAGTGCCATTAGTAGAGGTAAAAACTAAGTGGTTTAGAAGCTTATAGTAAAGTGTCAAGTTTAGTCTCAGGCGTCTTAGCCATAGTGTTTCTAGTCCTAGGGTATCACATCTGGTGGAGTAGTTCGTACCATTTTCGGTTCCGAGTAATTTTAACGTGAAGTACCTCTGCACTCCCTCGACTTTCAATTTGTCCTCTATGCGTATGCTACTATACATGAGTGAACAGTAATCAAATAAAGGACGCACACAAACCTTGTACAACAGAATTCTAGACTCATTTCTGTAGAAGTTCCTGAGTAGAAAGCCGATAAGTCTGCGTGACTTTGACACTTGTTTGGAGATATGTTCAGAAAATGATAAGTTATGTGAATATTTCAGCCCTAGTTCTAGTACAGATTCCAGTCGTTGAAGTACATGGCCTTGAATTGTCAGGTCAAGTTCTAAATTGTTGCAACCTATGCAGAGCCAGCCACATTTTTCGACATTAAATTGGAGTTGCCAGGTGTCACACCATCTATCCATTTTTTCTAATTCTTGCTGTATGGCGTTTACTGTTATTCCAAGATCTGTGTTCTTGCATTTATACGTCACTTTTAAGTCATCTGCATATAGTATTGGTTTACCTACATTAAAGCATTCACAGATACTGTTTACATATATTATGAATAAGAGTGGGCCTAATACACTTCCCTGGATTACACCACTACTTACTGGTTTAGGCCTTGAGATTATCGAGCCAACTTTCGTTGTCTGACTTCGGCCACAGAGAAATGATTTTATCCAGCTCAGGAGAGGATCACATATCACATATTTGTGGTAGGTACATTGGTGACAAATTTTGTAGTTGATTTCTTAAGTTAGGACAGTTCGTCTTCGAATCCCTTGAAGAAGTTTTGTGTAAGCACAACATAGTGAGACCGAGAGAAACAGAGCTCGAAATAATAGAGACGTCCATATTTTAGGCTGCTTATCCAGAAATTGGCAACTAGCTGTTGTTGTGACAGCAACAGTAAGGTGTCATAGATAACCGGAAACTTAGCCAAAGAGAATACAGCAATTAATGCGTATCTGTGGATTTCGCGTGAACAATACGAAAATATAAAGTTGACAGACTTCATCTTATGTTCATTCGTTCTATTTTCCGAAAATTTTGTCGAAACGTTCACAGAAGATCTAGCTACCTTAAGAGTTTACTATTTCGGGGTTTGAAAATTATTTAAGATGTCATTCATTTTAATTTAGCGACAGAATACTATAATTCGCGAATTCAGATCTATTGGAACCATTTAACATGAGTCCGCGGATGGTACGTTTTCCAAGATGGCTGGTGTAGGTCCAATTGTAAGGTGGAGAAAAGTCTCAGCTGCCACTGGGAATGTCCCTAGATCTAGACATGGACACAAGGCAGTTGCTATTAAGGATTTAATAGTAGTTTTCGGTGGCGGGAATGAGGGAATAGTGGATGAGCTGCACGTGTTTAACACGAGTAAGTATTATTTTTCTTTGTTTACTTCTTTCCGCAGCAACTTGTCAATGGTTCCTACCTGCTGTTCATGGTGACATCCCACAAGGATGTGCGGCCTTTGGTATGCTAGTGGAAAATACGCGTGTTCTATTGTTTGGTGGCATGTTGGAATATGGGAAATATTCTGGAGACTTATATGAACTTCAGGCTTCCCGTTGGGAGTGGAAACGATTAAAGCCCAAACCTGCTAAACACGGCCCTTGCCCATGTCCAAGAATAGGTATGTTTGTATTTCTTCAGATCGAATTTGGTAGGCCACAGCTTCACACTCGTGGGCCAGCGTGCATTTTTGTTCGGAGGAATTACAAATGACAGTGATGACCCAAAGAATAACATTCCAAGGTAACTGTTTCACACTTCTTCCTTGATTCCCTAATTTCGTACTATGAGTAATGGTCTCCATATTTTCACGTATTTAGCGTCACTTTATTCAAGTTAGATCCGTAGCTGAGCATCAAGTAAAACTCACTACACATTAATAGTGGTTTGCGTTTTTGTATAGGATTGGTAATTTAGGGAAAATCCCCATGAGTATATTTACTTATTCTTCACCTTCGGGGCCTATCATTTATAATTCTTGCATGGTAATCTTCTTTAGTTCATCTATAGTGATAGGGATAAGTATCACTCACTGGATAATTTTCTGGTCTTCTCAGCTCGCGAAAGTTCGATAAATAGCAGGCAAACAGTGCTATGAAGCCGAAGCGCCAAATAATTATGGACAGACTTCGAATACTTCAAATGTTGCCCGTTCAATAGTTGCTGTATTGGAAGATAAAGCAGCAGTATTTTTATACTTATATTATTTATTTATATTTATTATAGCTCATTCCCTGCAGTATTTTAGTACAAGTATGGAATTTTCAGTATGTGATATCGGTGGCCCAGATTTAGCAGGCCGACCATAGATATAAGGTGTGCGTCGGCCGGGGATCGAACCCCCGACCATGTGCCACCGACGCACAGTACTTGGTAGCTTGACTCCAAGGTATTTTAAGATGAACTTGGGGCACTGTTGGCCAAATCAAAATATTAGCCGGTATATGAAAATTCGGAGTAGTTATGCTGATATCAATTTTTAGGGAACGTGATATGTTTCTCTGGTAACTTGGCGACGAACTTGGTTAGGATATTATGTACAGCCGTCTTTCATTGTAGGTGTTTTCTCAAAGTATGGCATCTTAAGGTGATAAGTTAGTCGTGGTTCGTAAATGCAAACCGTTACATTTATAGTTCTATGCTCAGTCACAGTCGTGATTTCGAATCAGTTCAATTCCAACTCTAGACGTTTAAGGATTTTCATTAGGCGTTATTCGATCAACGTTTTTGACTGTCGGATACATGAAAATTCCTGTAATTATCGAGTCACGGTGAGAAGTGGAACTGTATATATGAGTATTATGTTTAGTGTTTGAAGAGAATCCATATAAGCATCGGAGTTTACCGCAATATGTACCCTTTACAGACATCATTTCAATTCCAGGTTATCATGAGTCCTTGCACACTGGATATGTTCTAAAAATTGAATTTAATCGGCAAGAGCTCACTCTAGGTAGTTTTTAGTGTAGCGTGCCAATACAAAGATCAATTCGAACGTTAATAGAAATGGGAAAAAGGTGAATTGGAGATATGTCACAATCAATGAGTAATAGAAATAACAGTGAAATCCGACCTAGTGAAGACTTCAGATCTTCCTGATGGTTTATTGAATAGGACTGTGCAGTTATCGCGGCTGGGTCATGTCATTGAGCCCCCAACTAATCATGGAACACCTTAACAAACAACTAGAAAATTCTGAGATCAATACAGTTTTTTAGTTTAACCACAGCTTTTTCACAATCCATTGTTACCCCTCTTAACCTGCTTCTTGAGAGACGGTAATTGAGAATGATCCGTACAAATTTCGATACGACAGTTAGTGGCAGTGCATATGTTCTGTCTAACAACATTTTTAAACTTTCATCCTTTAAGTTATGTACTGAGGTTTTGTTGAATGGTTGTATTCACAGTTGTCATTTGTGACTGTGGTCTTCAATGACGTAAATGAAGTTCAAAAGTAGACTGTGGTCTAAAACCGATTACAGTAGATTTAAATCTCTGAATGTAGGCTCATCATTTTACTTTTAGCCGAAGTAATTGTTTCTATACACATTTCCTAGATTACTTTATCAAACATTTGTTTTTACACTTAGATATTTAAATGATTTGTACACTTTGGAGCTAAAACCCAATGCAAGTGCTATGAGCTGGGATATTCCGAATACATATGGTCAACCACCCACACCTAGAGAGTCACATAGCGCGGTAGCTTATCAGGTTCTTGATGGTATGGTGAAAAAGTGGCGTCTTCTAGTATATGGTGGTATGTCTGGTAATCGGTTAGGGGATCTTTGGCAGCTGGAAATTGATACAATGACATGGATTAAACCTATTATCAGTGGAGATCCTCCAGCTCCTCGCAGTCTCCATAGTGCGACAGTAATTGGAAATCGGTAAGTGCGTAAAATTTTATAACGATTTTCAGTACCAGTCAGCATATATTGCATAATTCATCCGAAGTATCTCGTTTTCACATATCCTTCATAAAGCTCAAGTCACTTTCCAGTTAATTAGTTAATTATCGTTTGTCCCACAGTGTTCATAAGTGTTATGCGGAAGATGAAATAATAAGTGATACATCGTAATTTTAGAACAGTTGCATTGGCTACGGTTGACACATCTGCGAAATATTTCTCCTGGTAAACTTGATTGATAGGTTCTAGTCAGTACCACAAACTAGACTCATGACTCTAGTGGCTAGCCAATGTATCCATTACAGTCTTACATGAAGCCACTCATGGGCCTGAAGTGTAATCGATCGATCCGTATTTCCCCTTAATGTTATTTCCGAAATTCACCTAAGTTTTAGGTTTCTTGTGTAAAACTGACAAAGTTTGATATGCGTTAGTGCAGTATAGGCGCCAAGATGCACCACACAGTAATAAAAGTCAGCATAAAAAATAGGCGTAGAATTAAGTAAAACTTGGTCCGAAAAGGAAGCAGCTCTATTTAAAAAGACCTAACAACATTCGCCAGTTATTGTCAGAAAGACAAGAAAGAAGAAAATTGCAGTACGCTCGGCATTGGTGATTGCGATTCTTGGCCATATTCGATCACGTTTCGAGCCACCGATTCGAGCTATCTCTCGGACCCCAAACAGGTAGTTGTGACGCACCAACCAATGTTAACCTAACACAAATATCCTTCATCCCACGACGCCACGTCATGGGTTGACCACCTTTCCACTTTTTCCATCCCAGGGCTGGCTAGCGAACAGAGACCGACATGGAAGCCTCTCGGATGACATTCGTAGCACATATCCAAGCTACGGGAGCCGGTGTTTTGATATGATGACAACACTCAGTGAATGGTGATCTGCATACTGTGTCCAAACACACACTGCCGGATCTCAGAATTACTCACACGATTATGTCATGGAACTCAAGCGATTCTACAGAGGCAGTGATGGTCGAATACGCAGAGTCGCTGCACATCCTGAGCTCGGAGAGGCCAGGTTTCACAGGTGTAGAGCAAGACTGCATGCACCGAAGCATTGTAAACCTGGCCTTAGAAAGATAGGCTAACGTCGCGACGGCACCAGAAAAGTTTAATGTAGACTATTATCAATTTTACTGTGTGAGAGAAAGCTTTAAGGAAAAACACTAGAGCATCCATAGCACCTGCAGCAAATACTAATGGCTGAGTTAAAAACCCATTTGTGTATAGAATAATAATAATAATAATTTGTACGTTGTGTGGTTTTGAAATAATCTTCCTTATTTGTGATACTCAGGTAGCTGTTACAAACCGTATTATTTGTTTTTTACTTGGTGTTTATCATTCCATGACTGACTGGATTTTAGTTCATCGATGGTGTACACACATTATCTTAATGTATGTAAATCAGTTGTGATAGATTTCCTGTTGATATGTCTTGTTGTGTTTGTAATTTAATTGTTCCTAGTATGTTTGTATTCGGTGGTTGGGTTCCTTTGGTTATGGAAGATATGAAAATGGCAACTCAAGAAAAGGAATGGAAGTGTACAAATACTTTGGCTAGTCTTAACCTTGATACAATGGCTTGGGAACCTTTGACAATGGAAGTTGCTGATGAATGCCTTTTACCTCGTGCACGCGCTGGACACTGTGCTGTAGCAGTCCATAGCCGGTTGTACATATGGTCAGGTCGTGATGGTTATAGAAAGGCGTGGAATAATCAAGTAAGTTTTGTCTTTTTGTTTTTATACCTCTTCGCTATTGTGTGAAAATGATTTTAAATTCATTTTAATCATTTTGGACTTGTTTCTTAGGTGTGCTTTAAAGACCTATGGTTTTTGGAAACTGATCGTCCAGCTGCTCCGACACGTGTGCAATTAATCCGTGCTGGTACACAAAGTCTCGAAGTCACATGGGGTTCAGTTCCCACAGCAGATGCTTATATCTTACAAATTCAGAAATATGATTTTTCTCCTTCTACAACTTCAACTCATTCTTTGACATCTCCACCAGTAGACACAAGCGCAATAAGCAAGGCTCCAATAACTGTATGTTCTAGTTCTCTGAACTTGTCAAGAACTAGCACTATTACACAAGTAAGTAGAATCTATTCAGTTTTCGACTTTATTGTTTCTTGACTATAATGACAACTTTAGGAGACTATATTAATTTTCATTTACATTCATTTAACAGGCTCTGGCCACTACTCCAGCTACCGTTAATTCAGTCCAAATACCGACTCCCATCAGATTGCCTACTGTCACTGCTGTGGGTTCTGTGCTACCGAATTCATGCGTCACTATGGCCGGTCAAAGAGGTCCTACTGTGGTTACACCAACGGGTTTGAAAATTACTCCTGTGCCAGGTAGTGCAGTTACAGGACGAGCAGCATCTATTGCAACTGTAGCACAACACTCTGGTGGAATCAATCCTTATGGTGGTACCACAATCATTCGAAGTACATGTCCCCCCATTGCACCCAAGCAACATGTAAGTATTCTGTTTATAGATGTATAAAAAATCTTTTCACATTAGGAATTTCACACACTAGTTTTTCCCTTAATCATCGTGTAGCGCTTGGCATGTATTTCTTTTCAGTCATATTACTAAAGTTAGCTGGGAATAGTCAAAAGTAAACGGACTAATGATGTATAAAAGCACTGGGTGTTGGTCTGGGTTGTGTAGAGGAGTGTAGGATTGCATCCATGCAGAGTATTCCGAGAATGGTTGATTGTAATAATTGGAGATAGCTTATAACGTAACTAAGTACATATCAGAATAGTCCTGAGGTTATTCGCTGCTGACCAACCTCAACTGATATTTTCCCTTCTCATATGGTTTTTGTTCATTCGAACTTCTTTTTGTAGTGTTTGTAATCGAATTATAATTGAAGTTTCTTAACCACATAGCATAATCCAACGTAGATACTTAACCTCGCTTTGGTCTTAGTAGATATTACTGTAGTTAATTATTCTTTAATCGTGTAAGTGCTTTTGAATACTGTGAACACTAATCATGACTGTAATCTGTTAAAATGTGTTCGGAACTATTTCCAGTTTGTTATCAAACCACTGTCAAATGTAAGATGATGGCAAGATGACTGGACTACATTGACTCCTAGCTTAAAGATCGAGGGGGGAGGGGTAGTGTTTTGAGAGCTTACTTATTTGAGAAGTTGCATCAACCAACGCCAGCGGGTTGATCGCTGATGAAATCTCACCACGGGTAGAAAAGACTCGTTTGATATTTGCCAAATTACGCTGTCTCTGGCTTAATAGACATGATATCGGCTGGCTGTCGATTAACGGACGTGTGCACTACTCAGCAGTTCTCTCCATCCTCCTTTATGGCTGTGAGTGAGACATGATCACTGGAAGTAGAAGAAATGAAGAGACCAGTTACCTTTGATCATAGGTGTTAATATTCTCTCTCACCCATGTTAGGTGGTGGTGTTATAGGGTGGGTAATATTGAGGTTAGACATCAGTTGAGTGCTAGGTAAAGAGAGGAAGTCAGTTGATGAGGTTGTGAAGCATCTGCATCTATTGGAACGGTTAAGACATGTGTTGCTCACGACTAGCCATCGCCTTCCTCGATGAGCAATGTTAGCTCATCTACGATGGATCAGATTGAAAAAGAGCTAGTGGTGGTCAAACCAAAACCAACATAGCTTCATCAGTCAATGAAGAAATCCATAACAGTTAGATTAAGTCAGTCTGCCTGCGGGATGGTAAGAACCAATGAAGGCTGTAGACAACTGATGGTGATATGACTCAAAATTGTCGTTGTTAATGGTTGGTGCAGATGCATTCACTCTTTGTTGTGATTTGTCATATCCAATAAAACTCTATTGTTCTTCCATCATATTACTATTCTTTTTCCCTCACTCGCTTGCTCGCTAACACTTCTGTTTATTATCTCTCATTGGTTGGATCTCTCTTTACTCTCTTCTCTTGGTTTGTGTGGTACATGGAGGAAGTGTGGCAACTGGAACTGATGTACATCTGTGCGAAGCCCTATGTTGAAAGCAGTCAGTCAGTTACCAAGTAGGTGTCATACTTGTGCTACTATTATATGGTTCCACATTGGTTTTTTTATTGCTTATATCACTCAGTGAAACAGTAGCCATACCGAATAATACTGTGATCTATGCGATAAAGAAAAAAGCGGTATGTGTATGCGGCAGTGTAAAAGTCAAGAATAAGTCACAGATTGTTTTGTTAATTAATAGGAATTTTCAATCTTTCTCATTTTTGCCACAAACACTATATTTTTCTTTAGTATGTTACGTGTGTCTATTTGTGTGTTTACCATGCCCTGATATATGTAAATAACAATTGCTTCCGCTGGTGTACAGTGTTCATGCTTCTCATCACTAGCCTGGGTATTTCATTTTGTTCATCTTGTAGATTATTACTGTTGCTGGCAAACAAGTAGTCTCTGCAGTTTCTGTTGGTTCAAATAATGTTCCAATTGTTGCAAACAACTCTGGTGTAGTTACTTCTAATCAAAATCAAGTAGTGCATATTGTGAACAAATCAACAGGATTGATTAAACCTATTAAACTGGTTTCAACAACAACAACAACATCGTCTCAAAGTGTCCCTAAAACTATTACTGTTCAACAGGCGTCAGTTGGAACGGCTTCTGCACCCGGTAAGTAACAATCCAGATTTTTATAAGGATCCTACTTCTTATGATTTAAATCAGTTTCGTTTTCAATTTGGCACTTCGTTTTTCAAGGACTATATTTTGTATGATTACCAGATATAGACGCTTGTAGACGTTTGAATGCAGTTTGGATTCATACATGTGAACACCTTTCTAAGGTTACTCATTCATGTTAATGGCATTCCGTAGACATATTTTCAGTTACTGATGGTATTCCCACTGAGATCCACCAACCATCGCTTCAAACACCTGATTGTTATCCACTGGGTCACAAGAGGGGCACCTCTTAAGCATTTTACATGATTTCTAATTATTTATTGCTGTTTGTGATATCCTGTTGATATGTGTAAACGACGGAATTGTTCAGCCTCGTTTTAGTAGTCGGTCTTCTTGAACGGACGGCATTATTATAACCAGGATTAGGCATTCGAAGTTATTTGTTACAAGGTGGTTGGCTGGTAATTCTTGGCTTGATAATATGGTATAGAATCGGTCGCATTATTGCAAGCCTTATATTATTTTTATCAAGAGGAGCTATTCTCGGTATGAATAAGGTAATGACTAGCAGCATTTTTTTAACTAAAATACCTAAAGCAGAAAGAAAATTAGTGTTGTGTGACTGTGGCTCTCAGGGGACAACCACTTCTTGACTCTGGTAACTCCACCTTTTTGTTGTGGTATTAAGTGGTGCCCGTATAAAAGCTTCACCTCCACTAGAGGTTATACAGTTTTGGCAGTCGACCTTTTCTAAACCCCTCCGAGAGTGGAGAGGTATAGCTGGTTGTCTCAGGGAAACGCTTGACCGCAGTTGCATCTCTATTCTCCCCAGTTTTGCGACTCCTCCCTCTCTGTCAGAACCTTAACATGGTTTAAACGGCATATTCTGTGAAGTCTAACCTCTATCTAAACGACCTCTCTGACATGGTAGAACATACAAGAACAGTCGTCCAAACCAGTGTAGCTCTCAGAGTCATCTCAATTTGCTGCAAGCCCATTCTCCAGCCGGAATCCATACATCCCCAGTGTTAATGAGCTTTAAAGTCTTAGATGCTGTAATTTAAGATTTCTGCTTATTTTACTCATTAATAATATCTGCAAACAGTTGTAAATGAACCAAAAATGTGTCTAATTTTTTTTTATCAATAATATTTAGTGATTTTGTTCCAGAAAAAAACACCTTATCGTATAGTCTATGAGTGTTCTGCCTTAGTTGTTTCTAATTTCCTTACAATATAACGCTTAATCATTCTTTTTTGTTTTTAATATTCGCTAAAAAATAATTTCACTCGTGAAAAACTACATTTGAATTTTAGTTCCAAAAGTGATCAAGGCTATTCCAGCAACAATGCTTCAAATGTCTCCAGCTGGGAAGCCTATTTTAATCGCTGGTGGTGGTGTTGCCCGTCCAGGTCAAACAACTGTTCAAGTGTCTGGTGCAGTTCACAGACCAGCCGGCGGACAACAAATAGTTATCATGAGTCCAGGTAGTAAGTTTTGTGGTTCATTTTTACTCACTTACTTATACGGCATACATATTTTCATGAGTTTATGTGTAAGAATTTGATAAGTTTCAAGTTTGATTACGGATTGATATTAGTAAGAGAACCATTGAAAACCACCAGAGGGTACTGGACAGCTGTCTCGTCCTAGTTTGGTATTTTGGTAGTTTATTCAGTTCTTCAGGTTCCCAAGCATCTATAGTGGTGGTAGTCTAAGAATCACATTAACTGCGGAAGCGGTGGGACTAGTAAATCACATCCATAGAGTCTTTGATTTCTCGTCTCAGCTATGTCATGTGATGAAGTGTAGTCTTGCCGTTTGTAATCGCCAGATGATGCTAGAAATTAAACTGTTGTGAGACTCTGGACCCTTCACACCGGTGTAGATTTGTTCTTTTTTATCATCTGAATTCTAGGCGCCTTCAGTAGCCTTCATTGAATTCTGTCTCTCTCCCCTCCAAAATGTGTGTTTAATATCGAAGTATATCATTTCGTTCCAGTTTTTTGAAATGTGACAATGTGAAATATTATTCATCACAGTACTACCTTTCATTTGTCAGTCAATCTTTGCATATGTCCAGTGTACGCTTACTCTTGTATTGATGGACAGTTTTAAAACTTTGATACTATACTTCGAGTTTATTGATGAATATGTTTTTCACTATCGTCGTCTGTTTCTCCATCTAATCAGTCGTGTTACTGGTTATCTGTCTATTATGTCTAATTTCCTACTTAGCAAATAAGTAACAAAACTTGCATTTGTGCTTATCACTGATATATGTGTCTAGTAGCTCGATGGTTTGTAAGGAATGTTATCTTCTCACCTTGAGAGTTGTTCTAACTCCATTTGTTCATCATGTGTTAATGTTATAGTAATTCTGATTTAGTTCTGTTCTCCGAGCTGGTTGACTTAACTGCGAAGATTTCGTTGTCGTTGGCTGCAGCACAGGCTTTAGTATATATTGTTGTGATTGGTTTTATTTACCTTGATCATTTTTATTGACTTGAACTTGAAATTTCTTGTCATATGTGATTTATTTTTTATTAGTTGGTAAATTTGGTCTATAGTAATGTAATGTAATGCATGTCTGTTAATCTCTGATATTTGTCTGAGTACCAGGCTTTTAGAAATCCTCTGTTTAGAATTTCCGCGTTCTCCTAACCATCGAATTGGTGCCCGTGATTGTTTACATTGCTTGGATATGACAATACCTATCGTGTCTTTTCACAGCTAATGTATGTTCTTGAATATTCTTATTCAAAGGGGGGGGGGGATGTCCTGGAGAGATGTCGTCGGTGGTTCAGCGGTAGAATGTTCGCCAACCACGCATGTGTTCCGGGGTTTGTGATCTCCGGCCAACGCACCTCTAAACCTCGCTAATCTGGTAAAGAGGGAAGGTCGGGTATGAGGCTATCAACCCCATCCCATAAAAATAAACACCTGCTACCAAAACTGCAAAGCTCTAGCTTGACGCCCTATATTCCACTGGGAACGTAGAGGGAAAAAATAAAAAAAAACCTCCGAGGTGACATCGTGGTACTGGTTTATGTGTTGTATATCACAGGTCACATAATTAGCACCATATCTCTATTTCATCTTCAGGTTCCTCATCAGTTGGTGTGTCTTCATCGTCTAATTTATACTTTTCTTCTGGAGGTACTACAGGTCATCAAATCATCCGACAGGCTAATCCAACACAAGTCACCTTAGTCCGACGTGATCAGTATGACGCAACGACACATGCTAGTGGTGTTACTAGTAGTGGTTCAAACGATGCAACTAATGCTGCGCCAACCATTCTCCAGACTATTCCTCAAGTGGATGGTACAACTGATGATAGTCAAGGTGGTGGTGTGGTCGGTAAGGCGAACAATGTTAATAATGACGATGACCATGATGGCGATGCTGCATCAGTTACTAATACTACCGTGGAGTCGGGAGGAAAGGTTGAGCCGAAGGAAGATGTAAATAGTTTACAGAATGCTGGTGAACATTCCACGAACAATGCAGTTGTAAGTTTGTCTTATGCCCCTGGAAAAATTTACAAATGTGTATTTTCTCTCTTATCTTTTATGATTGAACTTTTAGTTAATCAATAATGTTATGAAGTGAATTCGAAAGTTGTGTAAGCTAAAGATGTATCATCTTACCGCTCTTTGTACACACTGGTAACGCCCTCGTTTAAGTCAATCTTCAGAATCTTGTTTAGCTCAGTCTGCAGGGCATCAGTGTTGAGGGTGGTATCGTCGACTTGTGTAATATAGAACAGACTTAGTTTACGTTAAAGTAGGTAATTCTGTCGTCAAGGGGATTCTAAACCTCTCTATTTTCTGAAATAGTTGCTATATGTTTTCTCATATCTTTCTGCATCGCCTTCAGACTGCGCTATTTCATTGAATGAAAGTAGGATTAGAGTTAGAAAAAAACAACAAAAATAGGCTAGACCAAACATACCAACAGTTGGTAAGGTCATTAACTATTGATTTAAACTGTGTGTTGTGGGCAAGATGTAGGTTGTCCGACTGAAATGCAACTGTGGATAGGAGGACCTCACACATGAATGAATAATTCGATATTGTCCTCGGTGGCTCAGATAAATTCGTATTTTATGGTCATCTGAAGATTTTTAAAAATCTCTTTTTCTCTTACATTATACTTGATGTGTAGATGCAAGACTTTATTATTTTTGATCTTAATTTTATTCCTTTGCGTTCCAAGTGGAACATAGGGCTTCAAGCTAGAACTTTGAAGTTTCAGTACCAGTTGAGTTGTTTGCTAGCCTCATGCATTCCCTCTTTACTGGTCTCACTACCGGCTAAGCGAGGTTTAGGAATGTGTCGTCAACTGGGGACTGAACCTCGGACCACACTCTTGGCTGACCAGTATCCTACAACTAAACCGACAACGTAAACAAAATGTCACTGCCAGAATGCAAGATGTGAGATTTTAAACCGACTGACTGCTTTCAACATAGGGCTTCGCACAGATGTGCACTCCCTCCATTTACCACACAAATCAAGAGAAGGGAGTAAAGGGAGATTCAACCAAAGAGAGATAATAAACAGAAGTGTGAGCGAGCGAGTGTGAGTGAGGGAAAAAGAATAGCAAAATGGCGGAAGAACAATAGAGTTTTATTGGATACGACAAATCACAACAAAGAGTGAATGCATCTGCACCAACCATTAACAACGACAATTTTGAGCCATATCACCATCAGTTGTCTACAGCCTTCATTGGTTCTTACCATCCCGATGACGTCGACCAATCAAGCAGTCTACACCTCCCTGCATGGCTGGCAGGTAGACTGGCTTAATCTAACTGTCATGGATTTCATTGACTGATGAAACCATGTTGGTTTTGGTTTAACCAGCACTAACAGCTCTTTTCCAACCTGATCCGTTGTAGATGAGCTAACATTGCTCATTGAGGAAGGCGATGGCTAGGCGTGCTCAACACGTGTCCTAACTGTTTCAATCGATGCAGATGCTTCACAACCTCACTGATTGATTTCTCCAGATTTTAGGCTATCCAAGTCGTAGACTGATGGTGCTTTTCTGTTGCAATAAAACTATATTCAGTGGATTATGTGTACTGTAGAGTTTTCTTGTAACATTCCTTTCGCTGAAATCTTCCATTTTATTTTTCTGTTTTCAATGAAGGATCCCAATTCAAACTTACATACATCGCTAGCTTCAGAGGCTGCTGCTGAACTTCTTGCGGACATTAGTGAAGAGAATGGCATTTCAAAAGAATCTGAACAAGCAGTTCAACATTCAAATGATAATAAATCAAACACATCGCCTATGAAATCTCCTACTAAATCGGATGGTGAAAAGGCAACGGGAGGCGGTGATTCTGTACCGTTTGGAGATAGTGGTGTGGTTGTTAAAGGTTAGTTGAATGAGCTATGCTCTTTTGTGTGATTTTTCTGTTCACAGCTCAGTTTGTTTTGCCATCATTGAAAAGTTATAGTCTTGAGTTGAGTAATTTAATAGCTTGAGTGTGTTTATGTTACATATCCTATCATGCCAGTATAGTGGTTTCTCACCATAATTCACAAATGTTAAGGTGTATTTTATCCTGCTAGTCAGTCAGATCTTTAACCTGTGTGTGTGTGTGTGTTTGTCTTAATGTCTGTCTGTTAGCGTGTCTTCCATTTAGCAGAACAAGCAGTGCTAACCCTTATTGTAGTGTTTCCTCACACAAGGTGTTTTTTATGCATTTAACTGTTGTTGAAATGTAACCAAAGGTATTGATGATGATGATGTAAGAATAGAATTTTATTTTTGTTCATTTTATTTATTTTATTTTGATAGAAACAGTGATACAGTTATTTAATTCAATTTGGACTCTCCCGTTGATTGATTGAACCGAAGTGCTCAGTCTCAGATTGACATGTGGGGCCCCTTATGCAAATGCTTCGACGATGTCTAACTATTTAAGTAAATTAGTGAATGGTGACTGGCAGTAAATGGAATCCAGGCTGCGCATTTCATCCTATTTGGGAATCGTCTCGTCAGTTAGTGGATGCACCTGCATTCCCGGTGAGTGAGTGAGTGGGACAAAATGCGCATCCTGGATTCCACCACTGCTAGTTGCCATCCACCAAGTTACAGTGACACAGTGTTATGTACTGGTGTCGTCTCGAGCACAGTTTTTTATTCATAATCCTGTCGAAGCACTCACACGACTTTCAAACCTTGTCTAGATAACTCTATTATATGAGATTGCCTTAAAATGTGATCGCAACGTCATCGGTAATTAATACTGAATCACTGTGTCATTTTGTTTGTTAGAAACTGGTGTGATGAACACAATAGCTAAATCTCAAATCATACTGCAGGTCTGACATGTACACAGTTAATTTTTCCCAATCCCCTTACATTCCGAGTGGAGCATAGGGATTCAAGCTTTGGCTTTGAATTTTTTCAATACCGGTGGTGCTTTATTTTACGGAGTAGGGTTGTTGGCCTTCACGCTCAACCTACTCTCTTTACTGGGATTGTTGACTAACTGACTGTTTTCAACATACAACTTTACACAGAAGTGCAGCAGTTCGAGTTGCCACACTCCATGTAGCATACAAAGGAAGAAAAAAGAGGTTCCAAAGAACGATAATAAGCAGATCACAAAGAGTGAATACGTCTGCTGCATTGAGGACGATTTCGAGCCATATCACCAATTGTCTCCAGCCGTCAGTTCCTAGATTCCCGATGATCCCAACCAGCCAGGAGGTTGACACCTCCCTACGTCTCTTGAACTAACTGTTAAAGATTTAATATACTGATTCCAAGTTTCGGTGTGACTGGGTGTCCTACTGGCGAAACAGGGTTCAGGAGTGCGTCGTCTGGAAACTGAACAGGGATCATGTGAGTGGTTGGCAAGGTTTCTACCACTGAACCAATGACACACCAATGTTATTCACTGGGTCATGACTACAGTTATACATACTAGATCCCATCTTCATTAATGATAGACTGGCAAATCGGCAAATATGCCGAAGTAGTCACTACAGAAAGCAACTTACTAAATAGCCTTGAATAACCAGTCAGAATAGTCTCATGATAATTAATGCATTAGGTGTTCAGCAAATTATATTTAAAACACGTGAACGATTGCTGATTAGTGTATAGACAGCGTGACTTTTAACATGTATCAAACTCCACCGACGGTAGGACCCAGGACCTTCAGGTTACGAGTCAAACCGGCTGACCGCTCATCCACTGGGACGAAAACCAAAGGCTATGAATTCGATCCCCGGTGGGTCATGTGTGTGTACTGATGAAGAGTGCTGAACTAGGATGGGGTAGCTCTTTAGTACTCTATTTTCAGTGGTTCTTTGACTGATGAGGACTCGTGACCTAACTTGATATCCATCAAATCACGGCAAACCATCATTTGAAAGTGTACGAAAGTGCACTATCGATATGCTGAGACAGCATCTGAGTACTAACTCATCTAGATTGCCCTTTTTGGGACCAATCTATGCCTCTGAGTTTCTGCTTTAAGTGTTTTCAAGATCCTCTTGATTGAATCAGTGTGCGCAACACTAAATGCGTCGACGAAATCTGATGGGTGCTACTCAGTGTGATGTGATGTAACAAAGTAATGTCACCACCTCACTCATCCAACTTTTAGATGTCTTCACTCCTGTTAGGAATCTTTCCAACCATTACAGATAGTTGTGAGTCGCTGAAATAAAAGAAATCAGACCGTCACATCAGATCTAAGTTCACTAGTATCTGTCTCCGTCCTCTGTGTTTTTGAGTTAATATTCTGATATTATAAACTGGCAAAAAAAAAGTAATTTCTACGTAATGTGTACGTACTACTACCGGTTTTTCCCTTTCTTGTGTGTATAGATGAGAAGGAGGGGAATAATACTCCTCTTACTGATCCTTTAGAAACTTTGGCTTTAGTCGCAGCTCATCGTAGTGGTAGTAGTGGTGGTGGTGACGATCGTGGTGAGTTTATATTCTGTAGTATGTTATTTTTAAGTTTATAAATAGCGGGGGAGGATGTGTTTCTGTAATGCCGGCAACTAGTCAATAATTTCTTTCTTTCTTTGGAGAGAATAGAATTAGCATAGAAACAGTGTACACACATATAACCTCTGCTACATTCATGTCTCATTTGATATAGTTATGTGATTACGACTTGAAGAAGCTTTAAAACAGCTTTAACAGTCTGAGAACTGCGTACTTGCTGCCCGCTTAAAAATCAAGTCGTCTCATTGAGTGATTACTATTATTTACTGTCTTTCAGAAGCTGGAGGGTAGTAAGTAAGTATGTACTGTTACTCATATCACAATATGTGACAGTTCGTTTAACCTTTTGAAGGTAATTATCACTGAAATCAGTAAATATCAAAGGTATAAGAGTTTATTACAGTTAATAATTTCACGTTACTTATGGGCAACCCTAAACTAAAACGACCCTAAACGAAACTTCTTAGTAGAGACCATGAGAAGAAACACCTGTCAACCAATCACATGAGTCTGAAATAAAAACGCGTAATTTAAAAAAATGTTTATGGGAGAAGTAGCGTAGTGTTAAAAAGTAGTTACAGGAAAACCACCCAATTTCTCGTTAGGGTCCTCATAGGATAGGCCAGACCGATTTCTTTACATATATTCCTGCAGATAACTGTAAATCATTAGGTTTCTTGATCCAGTCACACTGCTCTGATCCTCTTTTCTAAGTGACTCCATAAATTTTCGATGGAATTGCTATGTGATCCCTATCGAACGGCAGACTGGGCATGTATACACGAGACCATCAATAGAGGCTGTGTGTCTCTGTCAATGCATTACTCCTCCACATCTACCCAAAACGTCTTACCCTTTGCTATAAACCCGCTATCCAAATAGTACTTAAATACTAGATTTGGATGAAATCTGCTGTGTAATCCGTGTACAGCATCCATAATTCCGCCAATTTACTACGAACTCACATCATTGATTGCTCAAGGTTACCATGTCTGTACATTGGTTAGTTTTGTTTTGAGTCGTTATGGTTTACGGTTACCTACTTAAGATTCTTTTAAATGGTGCTAAATGATTAGTTGCAGTTGGCTGCTGCTGCTGCTGGATTCAACATAGAACTTGGCACTGAAGTGCAGCAGTTCGAGTTGCCACGTTCCAAATACCACACAAAGGTAGACGAGAAAATGAGTGAAGAGAATCAATAGAGTTTTGACAAGTATAAGAGTGAAACAGAATGAGTAATGGTAGAAAGGAATATGAAGGTTAAAGAGACTGAATACATCTGCGTAAGCCATTGACAACGATTTTGAGCCATGTCACCTATTATCTCCAGCCATTGATTCTTAGAGTCCCGAGGGCCCCAACCCGGAAGTCTGCATCTCCCTACCTGACCCAGTTTAACTGTTGGCAGTTGGCAGAAATCCCTGGATCTGGATTTCATGCTGATAGGTGCTCGTCAACAAGACGTATCCGCAACAATGAGGGAACAACAGTTCCCTCATTGTGTCTGACTCGCGTTACCCAGTTCTGTAGCCACAGATGTCACCACTGAGCTAGTTGGGCTTTTGGTTGACCTCTTGTAGAGTTTATAGGTACATTAATTCGTCACTAGGGACAGTAATCATTGTCATGCGCCTAGTTTATTGGTGACCACCGCATCGTAAACCTGACTGGATTGAGTGTAGTCCTCAGCAACTCCGAGGCTGGTAATGCCCCTGCTGCTCACATCTTGTAATTTACAAGCGAAACAACAGGATTTCACCTTACTCTCAGGGGATCACAGCTGTGTTCCGATTTGCCGAATCACCTGGATCACCTAACCCCATGGTCAACTGTCGTCCCCATGGGAACCATTATTCATTTTGGCCTTCAAGGTCCTCATTGAAGTATTTACTACTACAACCACCACTTACGGTTGCTTCACCCAGACTTATGCTTGAGACTTTCTGCTTGACATAGCGACCCACTTACCCCGTTTCCGTTACTCTACTCGTGTATGAAGTCAGTTTGCCTTCAACCTGCTTGAAAGTGTCTTGCAGCAGCAACGGTATGCTGTAGGTCTGATGCTCGGGTGCTGTCCATTTCCAGAGCTGACATTTTTTCCTTCGTATTAACTAGTCAGTGTATACTTTAAATGGGTTTAATAAGAGGTAGGTAGAGTAGCATTGTCGTAGTAACTGTGGTTACAAATCAAATGATAAGAAGAGAATAGGGAAATAAATTAAATAATATGAAATTAAGTTGTCAGAGGCATTTACACCACTCATATTTCTTTTCAGTGTACACTACTCACATCAGTCTGCATTTCTAAGTTTTAGGAAATAATTTATCAAAGTTAAAGTATTAGTCTGTCCACTCAGTTTTTTGTTGTTGCTCAGGATAGAAGGCTTCAAGCCTATGGTAATCCTTTTATGATAAGTTTCTGTGCTTGTCTAATCCCATCTCGATCGAGTCAATTGAAGGCACAGTGAGAGGGAGATCCAGTATGGTTCCTCCATGACTTTTGAACTCTCCTGCTATATTCTCTGAGATGTGAAAGGAAAGAGAAGACAGATCACGTCCATAAACATTTCCTAGAAGTTCGAATATCGTGATGAGATCTCCTCTCTGCCTACAATATGGTAAAGAGAAGAGATTAGAACTATTGAGTCTTTCTTCACATGTTAAATTAACCACATCAGCAATCATATATGTAACCGTTCTTTGAGCAGTTTCTACAATATGAGTCCATTTTAAGAAAAGGGATGGCTATCTTGGTTCATTTTTTCTAGTTTTGATATCATCAGAGATGTATATAAGAAGCCACGTACACCAGTAAGCAGTTTTATATCATTCTCATGTATGATACTCACACCAAAGAATTTGAGTTAGCTTTTATTTTTACTAGAAAGGTGATCTTAAAATCATGTTCAGGGTTGGTAGAGTGACAGGAGTCGATCAGGTGTTCTAGAATAGAGCTTCGCACAGCCTTCCTTCCTTCCTTGTAAGACTTTGTTGGGATATGTTCTTTTGTCCGTGTGGAAAGTGTTCTGTGGCTACGGTCAATGTATCTTGCTCCACAAGAGCTGGTGAACTGTTAGATGCACATGGAGGCGGTCAGACTATGGAGTTTATCTTTTACAGAGCGGAGAACAACTTGCGTTTGGTGAACGTCATTTGTAATTCTACAGCAAAGGGTGTTTTACTGACTGATTTAGAGTGACGGTTTTTAAGCACACCTAAAGCCTGATCACCTTTGAATTCCAAATTCACGAATATAATTTTCTTTGGAATTGAGTCAATGACTCGTTTGAACTGTTTATCTTTCGTATTTTTGTCCATAAATTGGTTCGAGTAACCGTTTTCTGCGCACGTGTCGATTTTAGGAAAGCAAGTCCTGAGTGAACACAGTCAAAGCTATAAATGTTTCTCATCCCCTAAAGGAGAGCGAGTGAATTGAAATTCCTTTTCCTGGAGATAAGCACCAAACTAACTAGGTTTTATTTTTATGTATAACAACTGCGCTACTTTCATATTAAAAGGATTACATCGTGTTGTGTTTTTCTTTGGCGAATGAATTCACGCTTGTTTGTTTTAGAGATAATCTATAAAAATAAACGACTAAAATATACACCTAATGATGATATGACAGTTAATAGTTAGAGTGTACCTGTTGGTTGGCACGGAGTTATAATTAACCAGCTTCTCAAACTGACTAACTACATCGTCATTCCAACAATACAGCTGATCTTTAAACTGTAACTAGACCTCATCATATGCACATATTTGCATAGTATCACTTACTGTTCATTTTGTTATTATTTTTATTTTTGAATTAGTTTGATTTCCTGATGGAACATATAAGGCTTCAAGCTTCAGTTTTGAATTTTCAATAGCGGTAGCGTTATTCTTTTTTTATAGGGTTGGGTTGCTAGGCTCACTCCCAACCTTCACTTTCTTTACCTGGTGTACCTAACGGCTTAGCCAAGTTTAGGAGTGTGCCGGCCGGGTGTCGAACCTCGGATCCTGCGAGCATTCTACCGCTCAACCACCATCGACACGCCTATTGTTTAGCTTCTTGTAATTGGAGTAGATTGTTGCCAGTCTTCCTGAGACTGATTTTGTTTTCAATGCTAATAACATTTGAGTGTACCTGTTTGTTTGTTTGTTCGTTCGTTCGCTTGTTCGTTGTGCATACGCGATTCTTTTGCTTACGTTTTGCATGTTTTCGCGTTTCTTTTTACTGACCTTTACCTTTGAAACTTTTAATATAATAATAATCCTTCATCTCCTTCTATTTCATGACAAATATTGATGTACTTCCCTTATATTCCCACGTATATATATATATATATATATATATATATATATATATATATATTAGCTGTCTCATTGGTCTAGACTCGATTTCCTACTTGGAGATTTGGTATATTGGTTTAAGCCACTCGGTTTTCACTCAATGGGTCACGGGTTTGATTCCTGCGCCACTTAATTAAGTATCGGCAACTAGCTATTGTTATTATCAACGCTCACACGAAAAGTGTGTCTCATAGCCATCTGACTTCCAACCAAGTGAGTTGCTGGTTCGAGTCGTGTTCACTAGCCCTCATACAGTTAATTCCACTCATCGCCAGTTGGTTATTATCCAGCAATTTTGTTATAGATGGTTGATGTCTATTTCTCTATTCCTCATTTACTTTTGTGTGCTTCACTAGGTGGTGGTGGTGGCGGCGGCGGGGTGCAAACACCAACTCGTGTATTGACGACGACAGGCTTACTAACTAATTCTCATCCCGTTATGACAACTGCAGCGACCAGTGGTTCTTTGATAAATTCTGCAACACCGAATGCAGTGATAAGTCGAGGTGATAGTTCATGGCATGATGTCGGTGTTATTAAATCGACCAGTTGTACTGTAACAATGTATTCGGCGTGTACAAATGATGCTGGTGTGCACATGGAAGTGAGTGTATGGATTTTTAAGTATAATTTTGTGTTGAATTTATGTATGTGCAGATTTCATCACTTATCGGTATCCATTAGCGAGTATTATGGTGGGTGCGCACTAGTGTCCGGTTTCAAATAAAATGAGAATTTGACTGTCCACTGCTCCAAGGTGTTCGATGATTCTCTCATTGTCGATTCACCGGGCCTTATTTTTCAAATCTCATTAATACCTATGTAAAGATAAGTGTTTCATATACCTTGACTTCCAACCTGTAGGTCGTGGTTTAGAGTCATGCTCTACTTAATTCCGTCTTCATTAGCTTCTAACACATCAAGTGTCACTCGTAGCTCCTAGTGGTACATAAAAATTCCGCTAGAAGTGTAACCACTCAGTTTAAGTAATGCAGGTGCCGGGTGTGAGGACAAATACTGGCCATGGAAAGCATTGACTGGTGGTTGTGCTACATCGTGGATTAACAGAAGTTGGAATTCATGACCTAGTTATTGGGTTAGGTCCCAGTGGATTGATGGTTTAAGAGCTCGCCTTGTAGCCGGAAAGTCTTGGGTTCGAACCCCAGTAGATGCGTAGTGCTGAGGAGTCTCCCGAACAAGGCTGACGATACAGCTGGTTCTCTAATCGTTATCAGCTGATGATGAAATCCTGTAACCAATGAAGTCCCTGCAAACCAACACCTGAATATTTGTATGTTATTTGCACGTCTTCACAGTAGTTATCATTTCGTATGTCTGTCTGGATTCACCATAGAACTTGGCACCGAAGTGCAGCAGTTCGAGTTGCCACCTTCCAAATAGCACACAAAGGTAGACAAGAAGATGAGTGAAGAGAATCAATAGAGTTTTGACAAGTATAAGAGTGAAACAGAATGAGTAATTTTAGAAAGGAATATGAAAGATTACAGAGACTGAATACATCTGCGTAAGCCATTGACAACGATTTTGAGCCATGTCACCTATTGTCTCCAGCCATTGATTCTTAGAGTCCCGAGGGCCCCAACCCGGAAGTCTGCGTCTCCCTACCTGACTCAGTTTAACTGTCAAGGATTTCATGGATTGATTGATGCGATGTTTTTGTTTGGCCACCACTTACTCTTTTCCAACCTGCACGTATATCAGCTAGTAATGCCCGTCAGAGTGGGGGAGGCGATGGTTAGGCATGTGCAGCACGTGACCTAGCCATCTCAATCTATGTAACTTTATAGCCTCGTCGATCGGTTGATCAGTTCGTATGCGATTAAACTGTGTAGTGTGGAGAGAAATCCGAAATTCCTTGTGATCTTCAGAAAATGCACTTGGACTTTCTTTTATATCGCTTATTATTGAAAATTAGTGAATGTTAGCTAGATTATTCTTTACGATTCCTTAGTGAAATGGACCTATTCACCAGTTGCGATATAATTTCGTAGATGGTTGATATGGCCAAGTGCACCTATGCGTCTGGGTATAGTAATAATACGGGTGCGATGAACAGCTCAGTTGATATGACAGATATGCTTACCTATTCGTCCCTTGTACTACCTCCCGCTTCACTGAGCCACGTAAATATTGAAAGAAAAAGATATTGGCCGATGACTATTATTAGGAAAAAGCATGTCATATTTTTATCTTTTAACCACATTAAAAGCTGCCTAAGGCAGTGTAAAATAGATTGTTCTGATTGGTAGGCAGTTCAACTAGACTTACAGAAAATGAATATTCTGATTGGTTGACGATTGGAGTAGCACCAAGGTAAGAAAAAGATGATTGAAATTTTTACAGTAAGTCAGAGTCATCCGGTCACCAGATGAATCGTATGATAATAACTATTTTAAGACGATTCCTATTACTTACTCAATTTCTCATTTCTTTTGATACTTTTAAAAATTGGTTTTTAACAGGCAATCAGTGCCCTACAAGGTCCTCATGGGATTGGACCAAATGGTTTAACTACACAAGGTCCTAAATTTCAACTTGCTCCTGGTACAGCCTATAAATTTCGTGTTGCAGGACTGAACGCTTGTGGTCGTGGTCCGTGGTCAGAGATTAGTGCATTCAAAACATGCCTACCAGGTTATCCAGGTGCACCAACTGCTATAAAAATAACCAAGTCTGATAGTGGTGCACACTTAACCTGGGAAGCACCACAGAATACAACGGGTAAAATTGCTGAATATTCCGTTTATTTAGCTGTCAAAGCACAAGCTGCTGGGCAAGATAATACTACAGAAAATAAGGTGAGTGTTAATTTTTTTGCACGAAAAGGGGTTTACTTTTGATCAAGTATTTGAAAGATTTACTAGTTTCAAAGTGTTCAATCATAACCATAATAGTATCTGTACGAATGATGATACTGTTGGCTCCATTTTTCAGTGTTAATCTAATGTATTAGTTCATGTATGCGGAGTCTTCGGCATCCTTTCTTATTTGGGGGTGTTTAGTTTAAGCAAATCCAACCAGTAAAGCGCCCAATGAAGTGGTTTTCTATCCACCGACTTCCAGATCAATTGGCGATCAATATCTGTTAGTATGGTATGTGCTTTGCGCCATCTAAGTGCAAAGTATTGTCACAAGATTGACAACAACCTATGCCTGCACTCACTCATGCAAGTGAACCGCTTGAATTCGTTGATAAGTTCGTTTATCTGGGTAGTTTTGTGTGTCAGGGCCGGCGGAGGTGTGACGGACGAAATTTTCAACCGTATCGTGAAAGCTAGGATGGCATCTGTCAACTTGAGCCACCTGTGGCGCCGTCGCGACGTTAGCCTGTCTGTTAAAGGTCTGGCTTACATCGTTTCGGTGCGTGCAGTTGCTGTACGCCTCTGAAACCTGGCCTCCGAGCTCAGGATGTGCAGCGACTCTGCGTATTCGACCATCACTGTCTCTGTAGAATCGCTTGCGTTCGACGAAATCATCTTGTGAGTAATTCTGAGGTCTGGCAGTGTGTGTTTGGACACAGTATGGAGATCACCATTCGTTGAGTATTATCATCATCTTGAAACACCGGCTCCGGTGGTTTGGATATGCGAGTCACATCTTCTTGGTGATATATTGCACCAAATTTTGTGTTTTAAATAAAAATATATATAAACATAGATCAGACCAACAGTGGATGACGCTATGGATTGATGATATGTCTTTATTGTTTATTATATTATTATTCGCTTGAATTCCGAGTGGCGCATAGGGCTTCAACAGCATGTCTCGACTTTGTCCTGTTCTCTGCACTCCTCTCTGGCTGGCCCTGCGATTGTCCATAAGCTCTCACCTCCTCCTCACACTATCGTCTCCATGTCACATTCGGACGCCCAACTGGTCGTTCCCCATTTAGGTTCCACTCGAATGCCTGGCATGCGACACAACGCAGTGGTCTCCTCGCCTATTTTACTGGTTGGCTAGTTTTCTGTCAAAACCTAAGCCCTGAAAAAAAAGAAGATTGGGCGTGGGGCTAGCAACTTAACCCCGGAAAAATAAATCCATTCTCTGTAGAGACTTCAAAGCAAAAGAAAAATATAAAAAAGCTTATCCTTCACTGGATTCGGAGAGATGGGGAATGGCGCCGGCTGGTGATAGACTTTGAGAAGCCCGTCAACCAATATGTTTTCTTTCTGTGAAGGCGAAAATAAGCATTGGATTGTGGAATGTTTGCACAATGTACGAAGCTAAGAAGGTTGCCCCCAGATTGCTAAAGAAATGAGAAGATACTGTATGAAAGTGCTAGGAAGGGAGGGGGGGGGTAAATCTGTTGGAGCATGTGGTTTAGACAATATGTCTTGATCCTGTGTAATTATTGTTTATGTTTGTATTTCACGAAATTAAATCCCTATTCAAGTTTATGAGATGCAGGTTAACCGATATGACCAGTTGTCAACTTCAGGTTCTGTTAGAATATCATCTTATGCTTAACTCATAACCGTATGCGGTACAAAATAACTAAAATATGCTTTAATTGACTCCTTATTCTGTTTTCAGTTTGGTACAACACCATCTGGTATGGCATTTGTACGAGTGTATTGTGGTCAGTCGCCTTCAGCTACAGTGACTTCTGCAACATTGGCCACTGCTCATTTAGATACAAGCTCAAAGCCTGCTGTAATCTTCCGGATAGCTGCACGAAATGAAAAAGGCTATGGACCGGCTACACAAGTCCGTTGGCTACAAGATGTAACGACTACACCAGCAACGGCAGCGGCACCAGCAGCATCAGTTGGCAGCACCACCACCAACAACAACACCACTCCACAACCTGTTAGTACTGCCGCCCAAGTAACAAGCGCCACTGCCTCACAACAACTTCCTAAACGGAATTTAAGTTTAGGAGCATCACAGGAAGGGTAAGTTGTCTTAGACTGTGGACTTAGTAATGATAGTAATAATAATGGCTTTATTTCAAATCATATTTTTTGATCCAATGTGGAGTTCTCAGCATCTAGTTTTACCTTTCCACATGATTACGTAACTGCAGTAATACTAATGACTTCAATATATAAATGTAAATAATTAAAAATTAATGAGAATAGTGACAGCAACATATGATAATTATTAGATGGTTGAAGGCATTCGGCAGAATGTCCTGAACCTTAGGTTTCGTGCTTGTCTACAGCCATCTGAAAACAATTCGGTGTATATCGTGATGGCAGGCCCATCTAACTGACTAGCATGTTAGACACATGGCAAACTTGACTGATAGAAGATAGTCTGCACCGAATAAAAGACACGTGACACTAGTTATAAACTAGTTCCTGAAATATCCAATAACCCAGCGATAAAATCTCTGACTGGAGCACTGGGAAATGTGGGTTTGAATCTCAGTAAGGACATGAATTCTTTCAAGGTTATCGATCCGTCTTGCTGACTGACTGGTGGGAGTACCAACATGCATGAAACCTTGGCCCATAGTTTCTTACCAACTGCCCCCCACCCAAGCCATTTTATAACAACAGTTGGAGTGCACTATGATGGCGGGTCACATGACGGTGACCACATAGCAGATTTGACTGACTAGATGCGCATGACACTAGTGACTACCTGGTGTCTAATTATAAAGTATATGCAAACATTGGGCAGAATGAAGAAAGATAATAATAATAATAATAATAGTTTTTTTCCAAACAGTATTTGTGGTACAGGTATGGAATTTTCAGCGTTCATTACAATATTGCATCTAATTACCTCATAAATTTTATAAGGATTTAGAAATATAAAGCAACAACAACAAAAAGAAAAAGAGAAATAAAACAAATAAAATAAAAAAAGAACAGCATTACATTCACATATTTAAACAGTGCACCACAGGATACGATATATAAAATTAGTCTGTAATAGAATGTTTATTTCCAGGTGTGAGGGGAGTTATCATTACATAAGTTGCGTTGTTGAGTTTTGATATTTATTCCTGTGAGGATATGAAGTCTCGCTATTTGCTTCTATTACTGCCGATGCACCAAGTCCGACGAGATTTTTGTTAATATCTTGCATTAGTTCAAATGTCTATAGACAAGGTTGTCAACAAGTTGACTCTAGTCACAGCCTCTAGTTCCCTTCTCAATGTAATAAAGTTTTTTTTCAGAAGTAGCCTAGAAAAAAGATTAAGGGGAGTCATTAAACGAGAATAAACAAAGTGCAATAGTTAACAATTTGTGAAAGTAGAGACTGAACTAATATCAAATCGTCTTAACTTCCTTATGCGTACAATGTTAGATGAAATATCTTTCTGGAGATTAATACGATCTGTGAAGACAAGGAAAGACATCATCTAGGCTATCTAACATTCGACTTGATTTCAACTTGAATGCCTTCTGCGGTTGATGCAAGCATTACATATGTGAATCAATCAATAGTTCATGCATATTCCATTTATGTCTAAAAAGTAGAATTAACAATCCGACATTCTGAACGATGTTGTTTGTGAAACTATTTGACAAGAATCATTAGTAGTCTCTATATATGTGTAATGAGTAATGAAGTTTGAAGGCTACATGTAAACTTGAGTGTCTCCTTATGATCCAAACTAGCAGCCTTTTAATTTCCTGCTTATTGACCCCCATTATCTACCAACCAAGTTCCGAGACCCATTTGCTTAATGTCTGTAATAATTGTAGTAAATGTTGTACCAGCAGAAGACTTGGTAAAGGAATATCTATTTGGAATTTGGTATCGTTATGTAGCGAACTGTACGTCGGTGGTTCAGCGGTAGAGTGCTGGCCAACCATGCACCTAATTGGGGGTTCGAGTCCCGGCCGGCGCACACCTTTACCTCCCTCAGCCGGTTACAACGAGGGCAAGGAGGGTAGGTTGGGTGTAAGGCTCACAATCACACCCGCTAAAAACACCACTGCTACTGAAGCTGAAAGCTGAAGCTTGAAACCCTATCTTCCACTGGGAACGTAAAGGAATTTAAAAAAAATATATAGCGAAATCATGTACACCTAATCTTCAACGAACCATTTGCACAGGTCTTCCGCGTTTTGCTACTTCTGGCCTTCATATTGTGCTTCTTTATGTTCCTTTCACGTCTCCCATGTATCTCTGCAACGCTGTACCATTTGCTTTCTCTGACATCAAATCTATCTCCCTGCTATTTGATGTTTTATGCTGATGAACAACTCTCTCTCTCTCTCTCTCTCTCTATATATATATATATATATATAGTACTGATAAATCTTATCAGCAGCGCATGGTCACAATATGATTGACATATTGAACAACATTATTCTTTGTTAAAATGAGAACAGCAAGTTTCCGTTTGTTGGAAACTGCCATTCTATACTTGTACAAATGTATCAGGATATAATATGAGCCCTTTCGCTTTTTTGTATTATTTCACGGATTCTTTCCAACTAGAGCGAAATAATACAAGAGAAGTATAAGTTACAAAATGTGTTGAAACATACTTTTATTTCTCAATGATAAGGAATAATTGACAGACATTATCAGTAACATAAGTTGGAAATGTCGTCAGTTACCGGGTTTCATCATGGGTTGACATCGCTTAGACATTGGGTCCCATTGGCTTAGTGGTTTAAGAGGTGGTCGCCTTGTAGCCGAAAATCCTGGGTCCGAATCCCGGTGAGTGTGTGTAGTGCTGAAGAGTCATTCCCTAGCTAGGCTGACGAAACAGTTGTGGTGGTTTTCCAATGGTCCTCTAATCGATATCAGCTCATGATGAAATCCTGATGAAAACCAGTGAAGTCCTTGCAGACCAACACTTGAATGATGTAAGTTGTTAAATTATTAGAAGTTAAAAGGATTGACTACTTATAGAAAAGTTACCCGAATATTTGTTGAAAAGAAACACTCCAGAAATTCTGTTGGATGGGAGAAAGTAGTATAGCGGTAAAATAGGTTAAACAACTACAAAAAACATCTTTTACGAGTAGTTTAAGAATAGTTATGGTTTACTAATACGGAACCAATGCAAGAAACCAGTTCATACAGGCCGTGTGGGACCGGCCTCAAGCAGTTGTCCCCTGGGCTCTGTGGTCACGCAACACTAACCCTCTTTCTGTTTCAGGTACTCGAAGAATCAATCAACTTCCACGGTATTGGTAGCCGGGAAGTAACAACCACCCGCACACTTCCAAGAGCACACGAAGCCTTGCTGACCATCATTCTTCTTTACCCCCATCTGTTTGTGTAAATAATCTTAAAAGACATTTTGATATCAGTTAATTAATTGTCTTGGCTGTAGACGAAGTTCGTTGTCTGCCTGCCTGCCATTTGTTCCCCATATAAATCGATTTGACAAGTAAATGTGTGATCAGATTCATCTGATCATCAGTATTACGCAAATATATCTCCTAGTATCTGTAGGCTTCAATATTATACCATATTATTTAATGACTTCACCTAGCTAAAATGTTCAGTGATTTTCTGGGTAAGATTACGGATAATATTCGAGTTAAAATGTAGATGCCCGTCGGGGGAGGCGATGGTTAGGCATGCGTAGCACGTGACCTAGATTGAGATGGCTAGGTCACGTGCTGCACATGCCTAACCATCGCCTCCCCCACCCCGACGGGCATTACTAGCTGATATACGTGCAGGTTGGAAAAGAGTAAGTGGTGGCCAAACAAAAACATCGCATCAATCAACCCATGAAATCCTTGACAGTTAAACTGAGTCAAGTCAGGTAGGGAGATGCAGACTTCCGGGTTGGGGCCCGCCCTCGGGACTCTAAGAATCAATGGCTGGAGACAATAGGTGACATGGCTCAAAATCGTTGTCAATGGCTAGCGCAGATGTATTCAGTCTCTGTAAACTTTCATATTCCTTTCTACCATTACTCATTCTGTTTCACTCTTATACTTGTCAAAACTCTATTGATTCTCTTCACTCATTTTCTCGTCTACCTTTGTGTGCTCTTTGGAACGTGGCAACTGGAACTGCTGCACTTCGGTGCCAAGTTCTATGTTGAATCCAGACAGAAAATGTAGATTATTCACATTTATTTCCCATGACCATCAGTTATTACATCAGTGGGAATGTGATTCATTGGTTTAATCACCTGATTTTCCACTGATAGGTCTAGGACTCGAAATACACCCCAGTCTGGGTTGACAACTAGGTAGTATTTATCTATCAGCCGTCAAACAATGAGTACAATTCAGCCTGGTGCATGCGAAACCAGTCCCAGGTAATTGAGGTTGGTGACATAACCATCACAGGGAAAAATGATACCTCCTGTGGTTTGTGTTGATGGTGTCTTCACTCTTCATCATCACTCTAATTGGTATTTTCATCAATTTACGACGCAACGTTTTGCAATGTTGATGCTGAAGGGAAGTTCTTGTTCATTTCACTCTTCTTTTGCTTTCCGAGTAGAATACACAGGGCTTTAAGATTAAGCGCTTAGAGGTTTCAGTAGCGGTGGTGTCATTTCTGTCTATCAGATGAATTTGCTGCCTCGCACTCAACGTCATGACATTTACCGAACTTACTATTGACCGAACTAGGTTTGACAGTGCGTCCTTTGGGGGTCGAAGCCTGGATCACACTTGTGTGGGGTTGGCAAAAATCCCCCTGGTAGTTCTTCCTAACCGGAGGTTATTTGTCGTTGACAAGGATCCAACTTATAGGTGCGTCGGCGGTTCATTGGTAGAATACTCTCACTAGCCACGTGAAGGGTCCTAAGTTCTATCCGCGGCCAGCGCGCACTCCTAAAGCTCTTTTAATTGATTTAGTAGACCGGTTAAAGAGAGCAGATTAGGCGTGAGGCTAGCGAAAACTACTACCGCTAATGAAAATTCAAAGCTCCTAAGCATGAAGCCACTCATGTACTCCACTCAGAATGCTAAAGAATAATGATCAATAATTGCGATGAGTAAATATTTCTGCAATGACTTTATACTGATCAGTGTGTATTTCTCTTATTTTCTCTCTTTCAGAGGTTCCACAACACCAGTGAAACGATTAAAATCAGAAGAACAGTCATAACTACTATTTTATTCTAATCTATTTTTTATTTTATTTTATTTTACTCATGTATTTACACTCACAAACATACATGCATTCACACAATCATCGGTCTCTCTCTCTCTCCTTTCCCTTCCCTTGTATTTGTAATATAGGGGGACAATATTGTTGTCCCCTTCTCTCTTGTACTTATTAAATCCACCCCTCCCTGCAGGCCCCACTTAGTCTCCGTCATATTTGCATTTCTCACTTACTTACAGTTGTTGTTTTATTGGTCATATTATTTTGTATCGCTTGTTGTTAGGCTACTTAATTGCATAGGCATCCTCGTACTCTACATGGGCACACACACACGGGGTGGGGCTCACATGGTCTGTTTGTGTATGTGTGCTCACGAGGGGTTGTCTCTATTGGCGTTTATTCTCTAATCTCTATCTCAGAATATTATTATTATTATAGATAATCATTTTGTTATTATTATTGTATTTGTTTTGTTTGTTTGTTTGTTCAAAAACGGTTTCAGCGATTGTACATAACCAAATCTATAGGATTACTATGTGTATTGTTGACTTTATATGCCTATTATTACTGTTATTATTACTAATATTTTTGTCTTGAATGTAAATGTCTGTTGGCCTTCATGCGCACCTACCCTCCTCCTTGTGTAGTTTATTTCCTCAGGTCAGCAGACAAACAAACAAACAGTTTATCAATCTGAGAGAAGATAGAAAATGTTCTGTACACATACACTATTCATTCATTCGTCTTCTTCTTGTCGCTCGTGTATTTTGTTTTATTTTCTTGAGGATACCGGCCTGCTGACACTGACTGTCTGTCTGTCTGATGGATTATCTCTGTTATTCATCAGTCAAATCTTTCATTCAGTCTACTACAGATTTTCTTCACTTTATCTATTCCCTATAGACACACTCCTTCACTTGCTCACTCACTCACTCACTCGTAGTCATCATCATTATCTAACTCAAATGTGTGCATGTGTGTGTTTGTGTTTCTGTGTGAATGGGAACTGGTATGCTGTTGAAGTCGTGTTTCTTAATTTAAAAAAAGGCATTATTACATTGGGCGGCAAACAGAGTAATGAGAGTCTCCGAGATCAATCCAATGAACAATCTAATATCAGCATTGTCGTCAACATCATCATCGCCGGCCTCTGTTATTTTTATTTACTTATAACTTTTTTTATTTTTTAAAATCCTTTGTGTACAGTTTTATGATACCTGGCGAATTAATATTTTCTTTAATCTTATATTTATGTTTGTGTATTATTTTTACTATTATTATTATTATTACTAATATAATTAATATATATATATATATATATATATATATATATATATATATATATGTAGGTACACCTATCTACTTACTTACATACACATACATACGTGTGTCCGTGCTGTCTGCGTCCTTGTATCCTGCACATATTCATTATACACAAACATAAAAACCACTTCATCCTTATTTTTTAATGTACAGATTTATTTGATGCGATGAATACAATTCTTCTTCTTATTATTGTTATCCAAAAGCTAGCTGGCTAGCTTGTATTCTAAATTCTCAGTCTTGTCGTTGGTGATGTATGTACATTGTGACAGTGGTTTCTAGGGGGTGAGGGTGGAGATATCATATCCACTAGATATTGATAATAGACAATGCTACATGGTTGGTTGGATGCTGTTCGTTGGTCTAGATATACTCGCTTATTCAGCACTTGTGAGGAGGGCGTATTTGCGAGCTTGAAAGGATTGAGTCATTTAATGGGACTACTGTAATAGATATTTTGAAGTAAATTGGTGGATAATGACCAGTAGTGATGGAATCTACGATGCATATTTGGTCCTATATGAGACTCCTCGTCAGCTAGTGGAATGTATCTACATTCACCAGTTAGCGGTAATGTTCCCATTGGGGTTAGGATCCAGTACTTATAGTTTCAAACGCCAAAGAGTTATCCAAAACAGGTGGCACTAGGAGCTAAATTGGTCTAGCAGATAATGCTATGACGTTTGAAACACTGTGTACTGGGTTCGATTCTCAAGTTGTGAGTGACTTGATATGATTATGAGTGGCAATAATTTGTGCTCGAAACGTCATCAGTTAATTTAACTGTACAACACTGTGTGATTTATCAAAATAAAATCTTACCTATAATGGAGTTATACTCTACCACAGTGGCCAAGTTTTATACTTATATCAATGAGAACATCACTCAGTGGGTATGCAGGTGTACAGCAAGTTGACGAGTCCTAGATAGGGCGAAGTGTCCGTTGTCCTGTGTTCCAACACTGCTAGTCACCTCCCACCGAATTACTTCAAGTCGATCCTCAGACGTCGTCGAAGCATCAACACAAAGGGCTGACATATCAACAGACTCCTAACACTTTGATCCAATCAATCACTGAAAAAATCAAAATTGTTTTAAAATATATATCAGGCATTATTTTGAATGATAGAAGTCGGTTGGCATCATGCTTATAATCTAGGTGTTAATCTAGTGTGGAGTTGTTTCGTCAAAGTTTCAACCTAGTGGGTAGAGAGTTCAAATCTCACTCCACCTAACCTACGTTCAAAAAGTCAGGTGGGATATCACTAAGTCTTGTGACACAAGTGTGGTACGTCAGCAACTGCACTGAGTAGTTATTGAGTAAAATTTCTTTTAAGATTTTTGGTCAGTTATTGAGTATTACAATTTTAATTGGTGCTTCACATCATCAAATTATGATGAGGGGAGTGTTTCGTCATTCATAGCTTTTCAGCAGCAGTGAAATATTTGGATCAATGCATTTTTTTGGCCTAATTTCGTATAGGAATTGTTTTTGTGCTCAAAGAGGATTTGATTCACGTTTCTTTTCCTTGATTTTTAAAACTAGACAATAAGGTGGTTGGTTTATGTAACAGAGTTAACTTGATATTCTGAAAAGAATAGGTACTGTATCTAGCATAGGGGAAGTAGCCAGGTAATTATCGCTAATCTGTACAAAACCTTCTGTTTTAAGGCATGTTGAACACCTTAAATTACTTGGTTAATGATAATAGTAATAACAGTTTGATTTTGGAAAGGGCTCATAAAATGTGCAGAATTTTCAACGAAGTTTATTGGATGATATTTCCTCTTCGTTCAGCATTTTCATATAGAATACTGATTGACAGTAGATCATGTAACAATGTTGTCTGGTCTGAAGAACGTACCAGTCCATTAAGAAATGCACAACATTTGGTTGGTAGGTAATTATAAAGGGTGTTCAGGGTGCAAGCGAAAAGCAACAAATTGACAGAAGAAGCATCAAAGATATGACTTCTGATTAACATAGAGAAAACAGAGGTGAAGATTCCTGGACAACAACACCAACAGCAACAACAACAACAGACAAGAATCAGCATAAATGGGAGGAACCTGAAAGAAACAACCTCCTTTACCTACCTGGGAAGCATCCTTTCAACTACAGGCGGAACTGACGAGGATATCAAAGCAAGAATCGGAAAAGCAAGAGAAGCTTTCACTACTCTCAAGTCTCTGTGAAGGTCAACAGCACTCAGCATAAAAATGAAAATAAGATCCGGATTTTCAACTCCAATGTGAAGTCAGTGCTACTCACTATACGGATCAGAGACTTGGCCAGCGCGTCATAAAGAGCATTTCAAACAAACTACAGACCTTTATTAACAGTTATATTCGCTCAATGCCACTCAAGATCAGATGGCCAGAAAAGATCAGCAATAGAGATCTCTGGGAGCGAACCAACCAGGAACCGATTGTGAAACAAATAGGCAGGAAGAAATGAAGATGGATTGGCTGGCCATACTCTGAGAAAACAAACCATCAAGTGACATCACTAGACAAGCCATTGCTCGAGTGGAACCCGAAAGGGAAGCGGAGAGTTGGTCGTCAGTGCGAGGGTGACTTGGAGGAGGTCATGTGAATAGGAGATGAAAACGTGTGGGCAGACTTGGAGGCAGGTGAAGACTCTAGCAGAGAACCGAACTCAATGGAGACGCACGGCTGAAGCCCTATGTTCGTCTAGGAATTAAAGGATACAATAATAATAATAATAATGATTGATATGAAACAGGAATACATATTAATTGGTGGGTGGTGACTAGCAGTGGAATCCAGGATGCATATTTCGTCCTATTTGGGACTCGCCTTCTGGATGCAGCTGCATTCCTCAGTGAGTGATGATGTTCCCACCGAGGCTCGAAACGAGTGCCCATGGTTTCAAACACCAAAGCGTTTGTGCTTTTTTCATCACAGCTGATTTATGCTCTTGGATTCAGACACGAAAGGACCCCCTGTTTTGACCGATGTATTGTTTATCAGAGTTCATGCAACTTATTTTGTAAATGATATTAATTTTATCTTCTTTTTATGTTGGATCATTCGGTTTGCATAATATCGAATGAAGTGATTGTGTTGGTTTGTGTTCTATGTTTATTTTAAACGGCGTTAGTATTCTAGATGTTATTTTCTTGTGGTCTTTGATGATGCCTACTTGTTGGTGTCACAATTTGAGTTTAAACGATTTTCGATGAAATTGTGTGGATATTCAGTTAGTAGTAGTGTAGCGGCAGAAGACAAGGGCTAGGCAACAGATCGTTTATCAAGGATATCAACACATTTATATATTTTCATGCACATTATTATAGATTATTGTAAGCAAACAAACACAGTCTTCTGAATTGTGGTTTCTCGCTGAATGTTAATCTTTCATCTCTTTGTGGCCGTTTCTTGAAGTTCAGATTATCTATCTGCAAATTGCATCCGCCTACGCAAAGGCTGCTGTGATCGGTTGTTGAATCAGTCTTTGTTCTTTTCTCATGACCAATATTTGGGACGTCAACATTGACATAAATTACTGTCTACCAATTTTGGCTAGCAGCCAGCTCTCACTACAGTAGTAGTAGTAGTAGGTATTTCTCTTCCATTCTTTTCAGCATCAGAGTACTACAGTGTGTTTGAACTCCTTTAAACAATGTCTGCACACAGTTTCTTTTGTGAATAACTGAATTATTACTACTATAGTTGAGTTTTTGGCCTCTGTGTACGTTCCATTATGGTTAAGATTTTATTTTGATAAATCACACAGTGTGTTATACAGTAATATTAACTGATGACGTTTCGAGCACAAACTATTACTCCTAATCATATGAAGTTGATCAAGAACTTGATAGGATATTAATGTACAAAACTGTGTGATTTATCAAAGTAAAGTCTTATTCATAATGGAGTTATACTCCACCACAGTGCCCAAGTTTTAGACTCTTTGTACGTTGATTTGCTGAATCAAAATGACCCACTGTGCATGCCAACACTGCAATTCAACAAATAGACTTCAAGAAAATGAGATGCACTACAAGTTCATCTGATAAGCAAAATATCAATAATAAATAGTGAATCTACAAATGAGATAAATTTATATTCGAATAGCCTAGAAGAAATATGCCTTATACCACCACTACCAACAGCTTTCATCAAGTTTTTTAATTCTTAAGTAATGACTAATTCAACTTTTTGTTTCACAAATTGTTTTGTTTCTTGTCTGGACAAGACAATAAAACTGATAGATATATATCCAACCCTTCAGTCATATGACTGATAATTAGGACAAAAATAAAATGCATGTTTAATCTTGTAGAGGTAGTCAGTTAGTCAGTCAGTCCCAGGTGGTGATTCTTTAATCAGGCATTTTGGTTACAAAGCTCAACGAATACATTTTCTTTAGTATTGGTTTTGTAGAGATTTTGTTTGATTGGTTGGTGGATTTCACCATGAGCCTACATCAATTAGAGAACCATTGGAAAAACTGCACAGTTTGGGGCTCTTTGGCGGTATGCACCCACCACTACGGTTCGAACCCAGGAACTTTTGGTTACAAAGCGAGCTCGTAGACCATTTAGCCACTGAGACCCAATCCAATGGCCAGCCCCATGAATTCCAACTTTTGTCAATTCACGACATAGCGCGACCACTTCGCAGTGTCTTCTTCGATGAGTTATTGCCTCATCTTCAACCTGTTGTACCCTAGTGGTCACGGCTTCCCACTAGAGTCCCGACCTAGGATGAAACATCTGTCCAGGTTTTTCAATGGTTCTCTAACTGATGTCAGCTCATAATGAAATCCTTCAACGAATATATTTTCAAAGAATAACCGCTAAGCAGAATAGGTACTGAAATCTATTTTAATTTAATTTGGACTTTCCCGACGATTAGTTGGACCGAAGTGCTTGGCCTCAGGTTGACAAGTCAGCTCCTTATGTGGACATTTCGACGATAGCTAATGATTTAACTCGAAGTAATCTGATGGATGGTAACTAGCAGTTGTGGAATCTAGGACGACTCGCATTCTGCCCTATTTGGGACTCGCCAATTGGATGTACTTGCATTCCCCAGTGATCGGTCGTACTCCTACTGAGGTTCGAACTCAGAGCCCATCGTTTCAAATGCCAAAGCGCTATCCACTTGGGTTACGAGAGCCACCTATTGTACAACGAGTCATCAGTTATTATTTATTTTTCATTCAATTTGACTTTCCTGTTAACTGATTGGACCGAAGTACTCAGAATCTGATGATAACGTCATGGTGTTTAAAACGAATGGGTATTGGATTCGGATCCCAGTGGGAAGACTTCCGCTCACTGGGAAATGCAGGCACATCCACTAGCTGATGAACCCCAAACAGGACGAAATGCGCATCCTGGATTCCATCCACTACTAGTCATTATCCACAAATTTACTTCATGTCAAATAAATATACATTATCGAAGCATCTGCAAAAGGAGTCGAAATGTCAGTCTGAGGTCGAAGACTTCAGTTCAATCAATCATCGGAAAAGTCCAAATTGAATTAAATAAATACTCCTACCCGTTTTGTTGTACACGATGTGGCTGTCGTGGCCCAAGACATCTAGTGGGTAACGCTTAGGCTTTTGAAACGATGGATTCTGGGTTCGAACCTCAGTAGGTAAAACATCACTCACTGGAGAAGGGGGTACATTCAGTTGACGGGTCCCAAATAGGACTAAATGCACGTTGTCTTGAATTCCACCAATGTTAGTCGCCATCCATCAGATTACTGAAATCTAAATACCCAGTTCACACAATCATGGATATACAACGGCCTCGTTTATAGACACTTACGTCACACTAATGTCTAATCGGCTCTTCGTTATGCTTCACAGACTTAGATTACGCGTTACGATAAGCATTTCCAATAGGCTATTGAAGATTTCCATTAACAGCTGCCTTCGCCAGCTTCATAGTGAAGACTAGATGGCCAGAAGGGAAGGATGAGCGACAAAGAACTCTGACAACGAACCAGTGTATATGCACAGGGGAATGGATATACGCTCGGGAGACTTTTGAGCGGCATCAGGCACAAGACCCTACAAGGAAAGCCCGATGAGATATGATGAGTTAGGCATCCGAGAGTGGCACAGAAGAGATCGTGTGAAAGGGTGATGAAAGAGATGTACTGTTGAAGCCCAGTGTTCTAATTGAATCCAAGAGAACAATATATAGTAACAGTGGTGTACATTTGCACAATTTATTCTTTTCGAAAGAAAATCGTCGTTTTGCAGTTTAATATGTACAAAAGGATTGAAATCAAAGCAAGAATATAGAGATTAGGTATTATTCTGATCCACTGTTCAATTCATCGGAGTCTACTTCTCTCGATTTACGCTGCCTTTTAGCTGCTGCTCCCGGCATTCCTTCATTATTTGGTGCATTGATTCGTTTTTTCTTCTTATTTTGTTTCTTCTTTTCTCTTTCACGTAATTTCTAAAAATAAAAGTGACAGATATTGCATTAATACATAAACATATAAGCACAAATTAAAGCATTGAAACTCCAGCAGCATTGGACAATATTTTAAGGCTCTTCAACTGTTGTGCTTTGACTCAGTTTCCGGAACATGCTCCAGTCTATGAGCCATATTTACACAGACACCTATGTCTTTGATCATAGGTGCCTGCGTCGCAACTCCCATGTTACGCAGTCATATTGAGCTTAGGCGTCAAGTGCTAGGTAAGGAGGCGAAATCAACCGACGAGGTTGTGAAGCATCTGCATCGATTGAAATGGTTAGCACATGTGTTGCGCAAACTTAGCCATCGCCTTCCTCAATGAGCAATGTTAGCTGATATACGATGGATCAGGTTGGAAAAGAGCTAGTGGTGGTCAAACCAAAACCAACATGGCTTCATCAGTCAATGAAATCCATAACAGTTAGTTTAAGCCAGCCTGCCTGTCAGCCATGTAGGGAGGTGTGGACTGCTTGACTGGTCGGCGTCATCGGGATAGTAGGAACCAATGAAGGCTGTAGACAACTGATGGTGATATGGCAACTGGAACTGGTGCACATCTGTGCAAAGTTCTTTGTCGACAGTACTCAGTCAGTTAGTTAGTGAGTCAGTATATTCACTGTGTGAGAGTTGATGGTATTATACAGTTACTCAGGCTGAATTAGATGGGGCCGGGATTATTCCAACCCGACTGCTCGAGCCAATAAGCCAAGTCTGCAACATCCCCCCGCCTCTCCTCAGAAGGATACAATAAAGCCAAGATTTAATGAACTGATATTTCTACCATCTATCAGTCTGTTATGTTTACGTGACCCAGTTTCACATACCAATTCTCGAAGGTTGAATACGGAATGGTTCGAAGTGTCTATAATGTCCATTGCTTTTTCAAACAGATTTTATATAAAACACTTTCCACTAGTTCCTGTCCATTCTACACGAAGTTACTGATTAGTCACTATCTCACACTTATCACGTCATGCCAACTTCCGCCTCTTTTTCAACTTCCAATTAGTCACACCATCTAGGTTACACCTTACATTACGTAATACATTTTTTAAGGACAAAGTTTACCTGTATCTGATTGGTCTAGAGATTTCCTTGTTAAATATATTAATTACGATTGTACAGCTCATGAAAATGAATCGTTGAAAAGAAAATTTTCTCCGCTGTTTACACCTTTTTCTTATAAATCTATTTATGTCCTGTGTTCTAAGTACAGTGAATGTGTCATCTACATACCACCACCATACTTTAAGGGTGGCGCTGATTGTTTCAATCGCTAAGTTTTCCCACCTATCCATGAATATATCTGCCACTATCGGAGATATTGACGACCCCTTGGAATTTAAATACCGTGGAAGTCAGGTATAGTTGCACTCCGAACATTATGTCTTTTAGTGTCAAATCCTAGTACGGCTATGGCGAATAGGAAGGAATAAAGAATACTGTAAAACGAAAGTTTCAATGTTGTGCAGTTAGAACTGATAGGATTATGAACAATAATAGATTACGTTCGAAACTTTGTCATTCAATAAATAATACTGTTTCACTGTGTGATATATCTAATAAACAAATTAATATGGAATTACTTACTACCACAGTGCCCAAGTTTTACACACACATTAATTAGCTTCCCAATGAAATGATTCAGCTCAGGGAAGACAAAATTATCGGGTATGAAACTTACTGATCGAGAATCTTTATCCGCTTGTATAATCTGTTGTCTTAACTGTGAATTTACACAATCCATACCTGGCCAAGGAAGTTGAGGGATTTTTTCACCCAATGCTGATTCTATCGCTTTAAGACGTGTTACTGAATACGGAGTGACTAGTGTGACAGCACGTCCATGTCGGCCAGCACGAGCAGTTCTCCCAACGCGATGAATATACGCTTTAGCTGAATCAGACCATGATGGTCGACGTGGAACATCATAATTGATAACAAGATCAACATCTGGAAAATCTAAACCTCTTGAAAGAAATACCAAAACGAGAAACAACTTATAGTCAGGTATACTTTTGAAATTTGAAAAAAAAACATAAACAAATAAAATTACCAACGATGAGAAGAGTTGAAGAAATACAAAAATTTTCATAGTTACATCCTTGAAAAGTTCTAAATTCAGTATCTAGATGAGCAAAAACATTTTAAAAAATCTTTGAGATTCACTGACCCCTTTGATTATTTAGTGACGGATGGGTTAAGCAATTTAATCCAGTAAAGACATTCAGCATTTAAACATGTAGGGGTTTTGAATATGATCGGAAGCCATTGACATTATGTCTGAGATCAGGGGAAATCAATAAACGAGGCTGTGAAGTTACATCGATTGAGATGCCTCTGACGTGCATTGCGTAATCCTAGACATCGCCTTCCTAGATGGGCAATGTTAGCTGATCTACGATGGATCAGGTTGGAAAAGAGCTGCTATTATTATTATTATTATTTCCTTTAGTTCCTAGAGGAACATAGGGCTTCAAGCAAATGGCTTGAAGTTTCTGTAGCAATGTTTATTTTACAGGATGAGGTTGCTAGCCTCATGCCCAACCTTTCCTCTTCACCAGCATTATTTCTGGCTTAGCGAGGTAAAGGAGTGCGTCGGCCGGGGATCGAACCCCGGACCATGTGCATGGTCGGCGAGCGTCCTAACCGCTGTGCCATGACGCTGCTAGTGCTGGTTAAACCAAAACCAACATGGCTTCATCAGTCAATAAAGAAATCCATACCAGTTAGTGTAAGCCGGCCTGTCTTCCAGCTATGTAGGGAGGTGTAGACTGCTTGACTGATCGGCGTCATCGGGATGGTAGGAACCAATGAAGGCTGTAGACAAATGACGGTGACATGACTCAAAATCATCGTTGTTAATGGCTGGCGCGGATGCATTTACTCCTTGCGATTTATGATATCCAATGAAACTATATTGTCCTTCGATATTACTATTCTTTTTGCTTCATATCTCTGTTTTGAATACCTTTTTGCAATCTTCTCTTCCCTTGTGTGCTAAGTGAAGTGTGGTGACTGGAACTGCTGCACATCGTTGCAAAGTTCTATGTTGAAACCAGTCAGTCAGTCAGTCAGTTGTAATCTTTCAGATCATTTAAGCATTCATATATCCTTATGTTACTATTCTTTCTCCTTTATATTTATGCTCATTATAGTCAGTTTTGAATTCAATTTTTCTGTACCTTTGTGTAATATCTGGATTGTGTTAACGTGCAACCTCTGCAATTCTGTGTAGAGTTCTACGTTGAAAAACAGTCAGTCAGAGTATTTATGACATCATTAGGTTTAAACTGCAAACAGTTAAGTTTACAATTAACTGATTTTCTAACACTGGAGAATGCAAGTATATCCGGTCGGTCGGTTTTCGACATAGAACTTTGCACATATGTGCGGCAGTTCAAGTCGCCACACTCCATGTAGCACACAAAGCAAGAGAAGAAAGTGGAAGAAATGGATAATAGAGACAGTAAACAGAGGTGTGAGACAAGGGAATAGTAATAATGAAGAACAAAACAGTTTCATTGGAAATCATAAGTCACAAGGAGTGGATGCATCTGCGCCACTGAGAACGATTTTGAGCCATGTCACCAATTGTTTCCAGCCATTGGTTTTTACCGTCCCGAGGACCCCAACCAGGAAGTCTACATCTTCCTACGTGGCTTACTTACTTACTTTACTTCGGCTATCTCCTACGGGAGGATGAGCCGGCTTCATGAACATCTCGAATCATCGCTGCCCAGGCGCGTCGATCTGATGCAAGATTTTGTGACAGGGTTATCCAATTCTTGTTCCACAGACGGAGTCCGTAGACGGTTTGTAGCCCCAGGTACTCCATATCAGCCTTACCAAGCCATGTTTTCAGCTGTCCACCCCTGCGACATCGCCAAGATGGTAATAGCGAGGGATTTAGAACTGATTTGGCCAGATCGTCATCTGGTCGGCGCAGAACATGGTCAAACCACCGAAGGCGACGTTGTTGGACCAGTACTGGAATTCGGTTGATGTTGAGAGTTCATGAAGTTTCGTGGGAATTTGGTACGAGTGATGTCCCCAGGATCGCTCGGCCTTTTGTTTGAGAGTGCAGCTCTAACCTTTACACAACCAAGTGTGACCTACAAGGCAGTAGGAGTGGAGTAGGGAGTCCACTATCCATTGGCAGCCGGTGACCGGAGTTCGGTTCATACGCCTTTTTGAATGGGGCCAGACATCCAGGACATCCAACAAGCCCTTTGTCCATACGTCTGCCGGTGAGCTCCAGTGAGCTTCATACGCCAGTCGTTGGAGGTTTGGAATCAGGGTTTAGCCATCTCCCCTAGACTGTCATCCAATGGACAGTCAACCCGGTGAAGAGCGCCGGACACCCGCTTTCGCCCTCTCACTTTGGTGAAAAACACCTCCGCCACGTGAAGGCAGTGGGTAGGAATTCCTCAGGAGAGGCTATGTAAGACGCCCGGTCATATGGGAGCATTTCAAGAGGTGTGTGTAGGGGTGGCCAACCCGCAGCGCAAGGCACCCACCCCCGACCATCCTGGGGCTTTGGAGACTGTTGTGGATTTCAAGTATATCCACTAACTGACGAGTCCTAAATAGGACAAAACGCGAATCCTGGTGGATTCCACTGCTAGTCACTATCAACCAATTGACTTCAAACTTCAATAAAATGTTCATTAGGAAATAATTTTCGAAAAGTATAAATTCTTATATTAGCCATAATGAATTATATTAAGAGCCATGACTCTTTAAGTTGACTAATGACACAATTTCGATGGCTTAATTAAAAAGAAACTCTAAGTGTGACAAACACACACACATAGATCAATTTTGAAATTTTTACTCAGAAAAAGTCAAAACTAGATAGCTTAGTTTGCTATTTGGTCAGAATCCAGATTTTCCCCATAATAACATGTCAGATATAATTACTAATCCAAAGATATACTAAAATGAAGATAGAATTTTCAAGTGTTCGTTTTGTAGGGGTATTGTTTGATGGATTAGAGGATTTCACCATAGGCGCACTGATGAAGAGCCCCAAACTGGGACGAAACAGTTATCCAGTACTTCCAGCTTTTCCAATGTTTCTCTAACTGATGTCAGTTCATGATGAAATACTCCAATAAATCAAACAATATCCCTACAAAACCTACACTCGAAAATTAATCTGATGCTCACTATCTACTGGCCCTATTCAGAGAGTTAACCTGGGGTTCTAGTGGGAAGTCGTGACCAGTAGGGTGCAGCAGGTTGAAGGTGAGGTAGTAACTCATACACTAGCGGTTGCGCTATGTCGTGAATTGGCAGAAGTTAGAGTTCATGGACCACTGGATCGGGTCACAGTGGCCTAATGGTATACGAGGTCGCCTTGTAACCAGAAGGTCCTGGGTTCGAATCCTTGCTGTGGGTGCGTACTGATGAAGAGTCCCAAACTAGGACGAAACAGCGATGCAGTACTTCCAGGTTTTCCAACGGTTCTGTAACTGATGTCAGCTCATGACGAAATCCTCCAATCAATCGAAGATAGCATTATAATCTTATTTCGCTTAAGCATAGAAACAGTGACTAGTGATAATATCAACTCGTATTTTATTTGTCATTACTAACCTGGAGGCTAGATCAGTAGCTACGAGTATTGAAACACGACCAGTACGGAAATCGAATAATGATGACTGACGTTTATCCTGTTGCATAGCTCCATTTAGCGGTGCTGAATTGGCACCGATGACATCAGCTAAAGTTTTAAGAATTGCCACTATACGGAACGATTCTCTCCATGTACTTGTGAATATTATTGATCGACTGTTTTCTCCACTCTAAAGAGAGAGAGAGAGAGAGAGGGAGAAATGTAAACAGAAAGGGTAATCTAAAAATTATAGAATAACTAGTTGTGAATTTATATCAGCCAATTATCAGTATTTAGTCTCTAATTCAGGACTCAATCAGTGAATAGTGGTTAGTTTACCGTGTAGTGTAATCCAAAAAATCCTGGCCTGGATCCATCACTGAGTTTCATCAAACTAGATTTCCTCAGATGTCAGTTTCTTCACTGACTAGATCTGGATGAGTGACATAAGTCCATCTTGAAATAACTATTTTAGATGATTAATTTTTGAAGAGTTGTCAAATCTGACCACTACTTTTACGAACAAATATTGAAGAAGAGGAATTCTGAAATTCTAGGAAGATTTTATAAGCGTCACGTATTTTTTTCCAGCTTTACCTCGCCTAGTTAATTAGCTCGCTAGCTTTCTAGCTGGTCCCAAGCCCGAGTAAAGAGAGAGTGCTAGGCGTGGGGCTTGAGATCCTACCTCACAAAGCCAATCAAACTGCTAGAGAAACTTCAACGCACAAGAAGTATGTTAAAAAATACAAAGAATTTAAAAAACAAACTTATTCTTCGCTGGAATCGAAATGATACAGTGGGTCGGTGAAAGCCCACCTTCGGGAAGCCAGCCAACTGATGTGTCTTCTCTCGATAAAAGCAAGAATAAGAATGGGGGCGTGGAATGTCCGTACAATGTACGAGCCTGGGAAGCCTGCTCAGCTACCCAAAGAAATGAGAAGATATGGCGTAGAAGTACTGGTAATCTGTGACACCAGATGGAATTGATGTGAACTGTAAAAATTGCCAATTGGCGAGTCAGTAATCTAATCCGATCTGGTCAACCAGACGACAACCACGAGCACACTGAGACAGTGAGTGGCAATCATGATGTCACCAACAGCAGCCAAAGGTCTAATCCAGCGGGAGCCAACCAACTCCTGCAGAATAATGACAGCAAGATTCAACTCGAAAGGAAGGAAGTTCACAATTATCCAATGCTACGCACAGTGCTACAAACAATGCAAAACAAGAGGAGAAGGAAGATTTTTACAGACAACTACAAACAGTAATGGACAACATTCCGGATGGCGACATCAAAATCCTTATGGGCTATATGAATGCAAGCCAAACTGAGAGCAGATAATACGGCAAGGGAACTCATAATGGGTCGGGAGGCTCTCGCTCGGGGAAATGAATGAGAACGGAGAACTCTTTGCAGATTTCTGTGCTCTCAATGATTTGGTGACTGGGGGTAGCATGCATAAGCACAATGATACACAGAAAGCAACATGGATTTCGCCTGACTGACACACTACAAACCAGAGAGATTTTATCTAAATCTCGAGGAAGTGGAGACGCAGCCTGCCTGCTAAGCACAGAGTCGAGAAGAGGAGCAGATGTAGGCTCAGGCCATCATCTAGTTTAAGGAACCTTCAAGTTGAAGGTGAAGGCCTTCAAAACAACTGGAGACAGGCCACTGTAATTCAAGTTCAACATTCAGAAACTGAAGGACAAAACTACAAGGAACACCTTCACTACAGATCAGAGCAAAGTCGCAGACACTACGTGGCATCGCTGAGGAAATCTGCGTGAAAGAACATTGGGATTAACTCTCTGAAGGTGATGTTCAAGGATACGTGTACAACTGTTCTCGGAAAAAAGAAGAGACAAGACACGGAAAGGCTCTCAACGTATAACTACCTTGAAGCTAATAGAAAAGAGGAGAGGAGGATGGTGAAACAGATGACTCAATGCAAAGATGGACAACAGAAGGGGAAGCTGAGTTCAATGCACACTGCACTGAATTGAATAAAGGAGTGAAGAAGAGTGCTAGGAAAGACGAAAGACAATTCTATCACAGACTAGCCGGCAACTGAAGCAGAACAGGCTGGCAGGCAGCAGGTAGAAGACATCTCATGACATTATATCAGATAACCAGGCTGCTCCCTATCCGGGAAGAGATCAAGCCAGATGATGAAACCCATAAAAGATGTCCAAGGGAACCTGATTACCAAGGAGCATAAACAAATAAAACAATGGGCTGATCACTTCAAACGACTCTTGAATCGACCATTACCTGTAACATAGAAATTTGCAAAGGAGTGCAGCAGTTAGAGATGCTGCACTCCATACAGTTCACAAAAATAGAGAACAGGAAGAAACACAAAATAAATATAATAAACAGAAATGTACATGAGAAGGCATAATAACATGCAAAAATATGAGGGTTTAGTGGATATAGACCTCACAGAGTGTATACATATGACCAACAGTCTCAAGTCATTGGTTCTTAGAGTCTCGAGACAGCATACACCTCCTAACTCTTTTCCGATCTTATCCTACATCAGCTAACACTGCTTGACAGGGCAAGCGGTGGCTAGGCATGCATAATATGTGTTCTAGCCACCTCAATCGAGGTAACTCTACAACCTCGTCGATTAACTTCCCTTCCTTACCTAACACTTAATGCCTAACCTTAATATTGCTCATTATATTACACCATTTAACACGAAAGACAAAACGCAAGCATCTATGAACAAAGACAGCTAGTCTTCTGAGGTCTCCCACTTTTATTCACTATGTCTCGCAGCCGTAAAGGAAAACAATGAGAACTGATATATAGTATACACATCCTTTAAACGATATCCGGATATCATGCCTGCGTTAGATATGGTGTAAATTGACTAATGTCACGTAAGCCGTTTGTACCGATGCTGAGATTTTGTCAGTAATCCGTCAATTAGGGCTAAGGCAGCTTCCTAATTAAATGAAGTCGTCAGCGCACTCCACCACTTCAGACCAGTCCCCCAGTATCATTTTACATTTGGCAGGAGAGAAATCCATGTCAAACATTCGAAAAATGCTGCTCCTCAAGGTGTTTTCACCTAGGAGGGCATCTTCCACATATCTATCTCAGCTTTGACTTTTTGGGTCGCGTAAGCCTTCTTTAACCAACAGACCATGAATTTACACATCCTTTTCCTAATCAACGGCTAGATATAATTTATGATTAGAAGTGTGGTTGCTGGTTAGTATTTTTATGACCATCTGATAATTTTAAGGCTTTTCAAAAGCACTACTGATCAGTAGTAGATCAAATATTCACAAAGAAAATAGGTGAGGAACGGTATATTTTTGTCGAAGAAAGTACACTTACCTTACATGATATTAATAGTAAGTAAATCAGATAAAAATCTCTTTCTTTATCTGGGAGAAAAACAAAGGCATGATCCAATTTATCAACTTTAGCATATTTAGAGCTGACTTCAAACGTAACTGGTGATTTAGTGCAAACTTTTTGTATTTTTTCCACCTATAGAGAACGATTAGATACTAACTACGGGGTAAGACACAGAACTTACATTATGCGTCATTGTAGCTGAATATAAAAATGTCTGGTGATTTGGATGAAGTTTTGTCATGATAAACGCCAATTGTTCTTCAAATGTATCCTCTAACATTTGATCTGCTTCATCAAGGACGAAGTATCTAACATGATTTAGGCGTAGTTCTTTGGTATTCTCAAGATGATAGACAACTCGACCAGGTGTACCAACAATCACATGAAATTTAAGCCTTTTCAAATCACGCACCTGATCTTCAGCATGTTGACCACCGACTAGACAAACCACCTTCAGACCAAATTTTTCACCCAATTCCATGAATAGACTCTTGATTTGTAGGGCTAACTCTCTTGTTGGCGTTAGAACCAAAGCAAAATTATGTCTAGGTTTCAATAATAAATCTTGTAAAATTGGTATAGCAAAAGCTGCAGTTTTTCCTGATCCAGTTTCTGCAAGTCCAACTATATCTTTTTTGCGTAGAGCAGCTGGAATAGCCTTCAATTGTATTTCAGAAGGACTTTTCCAGCCAAGAGTTGAAATAACTTCACATATTTCACTACATATACCCTTAAATATTCAGTTAGACGAAGTTATTCAAAACTTACAAGCTCACTGAAGCTTTTTGAAGACATTCCAAAATATTCAGTATGTGAATAAAGGTGTTATTTTCTGGAAAAGAGTAACAGATTTTATGTAACACAAAGTAAAACCATTGATGTTACAAAACTTCATAATCCTATGCATATATCAGGATAATATTTCAGATGACAATAATGAAAGGACTAGGTGCCATTAGCCCTAGCAGTAATTAGAAACCAGTGAAAGTAATGTGATGAATTTATAAAAGTCCTTGGACGCTGTGTTACTCATATATACAACACTGGTCTGAATCAGATGGAGTGCATTCGACAGACTTGTCACACCGTGACGTAGCAGTAATCCCCCCAAGTGACGCAATATAAGTGTGCATACTACGTTATGAACCACACTAGGTGCGTGAGAAATAACGACAACACCGTATTTTTACAATTGACTTGGGAGAGATTTGAATTCATAAACAAATAGCTAATCGGATGCCATTAACAACAAACTGCATCTCAAAATCTGGATCCATTTAGTAAGTGGATATTACTTCATATAATTTCCTCTTAAATTAACTATTTTCTCTTTCCTTGTTCATTTTATTCCCCGTCTGTTAATTTTTCTATACACTTGGTAACTACAACAACTTGAAAAAGCATATCCTCATAATGTTTTGAATCATCGTATCTGTCTTATTATATCGACTAGCTTGACGCAGTTTTGAAAGGAGAGTGGAGCAGACCAAGTGAGAAACTGACTAGACGAACCGTGATGTTAATTCACGACATGAATCTCAGTCTCCAGTCACTTTGAGGACTATGAACATTTTCGCTGGGTGTCTAAAAAATTTCAAAGAGCATAGCCTAAATTAAGACAGTGACTGAAATGTGGTGAATCTTTATTGTCTTCCGCAGAATCAGCATATTATCACCCTGTATTTATTTCAGATATATTATATACTGTGTATTTTTACAGAACTTTAGTTGGTCGTAGGTGTACATACGGGGAAAACAGCGCGTCGGTGGCACAGCGGTTAGGACTCTCGCCAACCATGCACATGGTCTAAGGTTCGATCCCCGGCCGACGCACACCCCATATCAATGGTCGGCCTGCAAAATTTGGGCTACCGATATCACATGCTGAAAATTTCATACTAGTATCAAAAATACTATATGGAGTCAAGCTATAGTAAAATAAAAATAAAAAATTAAATTATAAATCACTTATGATGTCGATAGAATGAGATTCACAGAACAAAAGTATTGGTAAACTACAAAACATATCTTGGTGACCATATCTTATTGTATGCGTTCCAAACAAACAGGCGAGAACTACGATCGTCTTATATAATAAATACAGTATAAGATATCCTGGGTTATGGATAATTCAGAGGTTAGTCTTTGCAGGGAGTATCTGGTTATATAAAATCATGGTACTTAATAAAGAAACAAACTTTGTCCAGGATAAAGCTTTGGGCTTGCACTTTATTTATTTAATTTTATCAATATTGATTTTATATCCAGTCATTAATTTCGAGTGGGGATGTAGATCACTGTCATAATCGGCTGACTTTCAACAAACGAACAGCTAGGTAGTAGTACTACTCTTCGCACTGTAAGTGCGGATTAGAGATCGGTACATGAAGTCTATCTCCCGTGATAAATAACCATCAGAATCATTACATTTAAGGTGAACAGAAAATCTTTACTTTAAAGACTGACACAGCACCGTTCTGAGCGGGTGAAGAGAGTGTTGTTACGGAATATACAACGTAACCAAAACTAATGGGTGTTCAGTGGAGCTGAAGACTGTGTAAACAGTACAGCACCTAGTATCCCTACTATATAACTAAGTTGCAGTGTAAAGTTGAGCAGGCAACTACCTTCAAGTGTTTGAACGTGAGGCGATTATAATAAGCACGATGGCCAGTTCGTATGTTTATTGGAGTTAACCTTAAAGTACATAGTCAGGATCAATAGACCTGATAACCTAAGAACGCTTGTAATGCCAATTTGCCAACATAAAGGCATTAGTAAAGGTTTTTCGACAACGAACAAAAGAGGAGTGCCCCCTCCTCACCACAGACTTCTAAGGCAGAATTGTACTGCCAGAGACCAAATTCTATTACTATATCAGATTCAGATTATAAGGATAGAAGGCTCTTGACGCCTATGTTAATCTTCGAGATATATATATATCTGCAGAGATCCAGTTCCTCTTTGAAAGCGTCCACCGATGGAGCTGTTACTACTGCATCAGGTAAGGAGATGCAGTCGTTGACCACTGTGAGAGAATCTTAACTCCACACGTATTTTATTCGACCTCGGTCTGAGCACCTTCTTGTGGCGACCTCGTAAATGCATCTAGAGGGATAGAAAAGGTTTGAAGGACCTTAATCTCCATGAGTGACGAAAGGAAAGGAGACCTTTGAATATCAATTTATTTTCCACAGAAAAACCAATACATAAACCTAGTTAATACCTGGTTGTCCTATTTGCAGTGCTTTTTAAAGTCGTACAGAAGTGAATACAAAATCTACTGAACCATTTTGAAGATGTTGATTAACTTAGAATAACTGGAGCGAAAGCATCGAACTAGGAATATCTTTTTCAACATATCATCGTATTATCTTCAGGGTTAACGGGATTAAAATTGTAATCTCGACTATTATTAGTCGATGGTTTTCTGTTTTGAACACTTGGTTAGTTATGATGAATTTCCAGTTACTCAAATGCTCAGCTACTGATATAATTATTCATTACGAACACTCCATACAATATAGAACCGCACTTACTTCTACACGCCAAACATACGAGTAGCGATTCAAGTTAAATTGGCACCAGCCTTTCAAGGTCACTCTTCCAAATTCCAATTCATGCTCAAACTTTTAGGTAAGGATGTATAGTTCAAATTTTATCTTAATTCTTTTCAGATAAGTATATGTGCTTGTTGAATTCGTTCTTGAACGAGTAAACTGAGGAATCACACGTCACTTTTACAGCAACAGAAACCATTTAAAATTCTAAGAAATGTTCCCTGTTTTCCTTCTCACCGTGTCAGAACGTCTCAAAGGGCGCTGCAGAGGAGTTTATAAGCCTGGGGGCACTATGCTACTATAAAGTGCTGGTTCTGTCACTCTTGGAACTCACACCCAGAAGAAGTGATATCAGCACCCGCAGCTTACTCATTCAAGAAGAGGTTAGACAGGCACAGAAACCCATTACGAAAGGATCAAGCCTTCTAGCCTCTTATCCCCAGTTGCTAAATTCGAAATGTGAATCGGTTACAAGAGACTACAACTCGATGGGATTACGAACAATCCATATCGATATAGTTCCTCGTTGGTTTTTGACTCTCATACTGTATCTCCAAGGTGTTGGGATCCACTGAGAGCAAAAAGAGAAGATGGATCAGGTCCATAGTAATTTCTCAGAATTTTGTACATTGTGATGAGATCACCACTCTGCCTACTGTATGACAAACGGAAGAGACTTAAACTGTCAAGGCTTCCTTAATACGATAGGTGGGCCATACAAAGAATCACCCGTGTACGCAATCCTTGAGTGTATGAGTCACCTTTTGGAAGGCGGTAGGGGGTATGAATGCAGTTCTCTAGTTCTGAGGTCACCAGCTATGTATATGAAGTGGTAGGAATACCTTAGACCCTCGGTAAAGCCCATCAAATTCTAAAAGGGATAGCTGAGAATGAGCTGTTGTGACCATCAGCAAAAGTAGTGCTTTAGGTTCTATACTTATAATGCACTTGTGGCCATTTATGAACGGCGGCTGTTTGGGAGTTCAGGACGCGCTTGTGTGCTCAAAAGCAATGCATACACTCATTCACCTACTTAAAAATGACATAGCATTTGGGCCATGATTTCGTTGTTCAGTTTGTAATTTTAATCATTACTCTGTTTTCAATAGATTGTTTATTTATAACGGTGGCCTCCTCATACAGAATATATTTAATAACCCCGCCGTTTCTGCAGTGTCTTTCTTTCCAATTTATATATTCAAATAAACTAAATCATTTTTGCACTTAACACGTAGCACAAGCTTCCACTTCCTGGTTTCCTTTAGGATACCCCATTTTAGATCATTCCACATATTACGTAAAATATTTTCTACAATTTAATTAAAAGTTTTCAGCTATTTACAATGAATTCCCTGTTGGATGTACATAATGTTGAAAATGATTCCGCTCAGATGGATATTCTCTTCCTTGTTATATCTTCCTTTTAGAACTCTTTAGGGCTTGAATCACAACTCTATAAGTTGCTGGTTGTACTTCAGTTAGACCTTAATTAAGCTCACACACTAAAGACTTCTCCTCTTAATACCCTAATCAGTACTCTAACTAACGTATGAGTACCAATTAATGAACTCGAAGTAAAAAGTCTTTTGACTTGGTAGTGTGGATTATATTTTTACTGCAGATGAAATATCAAATTAAATAAATGAGAATACTGTACAACTTATATGTTTGCTGGTTGGGGTAGCAAGCTCAAGGGTGTGCTTAATGACAGCACACTGAAGGAGCGAGCCACGTGCGACCAGTCACTCTAGAAAATAATGATGATTACATGAATGCGTTGAAGAAAAAGCTCAAACATCCAGGGAGCACTACATTTTACCCCCTCTTAGAGGGTTGGTAGGACACCGGCAACATTCGATTCACGAAAGCAGTATGTTAAGAGATAGAGGTTTGTACAATAACACTCAGGGAAAAAGGAAGAATTAAGGGAGTAATAAAGAAGTGTAAAAATAAAGAAAAGGTCTAAGGTGAATAGGGGCACTATGTGCATGACTACTGGAGTACAGAGAAATATAAGAAGAAGTGACGCTGGTGCCTTAGTGCGATTTCATAGAGATTTAAGTTGTTTTTTGTTATTACTTTAATTATATTATTTTTAAAATTTTTTCGTAGGTACTATTATTTCTACCAGCAGGTTCACATGCCACACATTTTTGATGCGTGGTGCCAACCCGTTGTCCAGGTTGAGATGGAGGAAAAGTGACTTATTATCTCTGAGTTGAGTCTTAGGCCAATGTTCAACTCCTCTGCTTCAACAATTAGTATCAATCTACACAAAACATAACAAATATACCAGCGTATCAGAAAGAACAGTGTAAAAGTGGGAAAAGAAAAGAAAAATGGGGGATAAGTTTAAGATTTCAGAATCGGAATAAGATTACTACAAACGATTTAGCAGAATAAATACTAGGAACCATGATGAAAACATGGAAGTTATAATCCAGGTTGAAATGAAATAGAGGAAATTGCTAACAGTATGGAAATTGATGAAAGTTACAGGGCAAAATGGCGACAGAACGAAGAGTGATGCCTTGTTACAATTAGTGAAAAAATGTAGCGACCTGGATAACTAAAGTAGTGAAAAATGTTTACAGGTATGGTTCAACTCAGGTTCAGCAGCTCACAACCTCTGGTGAAAAAATCAAAGTCTGTCGACATAGATTGAGCGGATTAAAAAGTGACAAGAATGCGCAGAAAAATTTGCGATAGTTCATGTAGTTGTACAGAACAAGGAGTTTTTTACATTGTTGTTTTTACATATATCTTTTCCAGTTTTTTAAGTGAGAGTAAAAATTCTTAGTATTCGTATTATATTTACAAGGGTAGAGAAAAACACAGCCCCGCTTGTAATCCCGTAAGTAATGGGAATCACGAGAAGACATGAAAGCTAACATCTCTAACCGGTTTATCTAGGATTCAAGATAAACTGTGATAATTTATGTAGGAAATCTAGGAAAATTCATGACTGTGAGCAATAATGTATGCTCGAAACGCCATCAGTATATATTACCGTACAACACCGTATGATTTATCAAAATAAAATCTTATGCATAATGGAGAAAATACCATGGAGTTTAGATTCTCACGTAGGGTGGCCAGCGACTGGAAGCTTTTACTCTGTCATGTGGAATCAGCTTAATTGGTAAACACCTCACAAAGAAATTAAATCTTCACGGAGATGCATATCGAAAGGATTAATGGAGGGCGAAAAACCTACTGTATTTGCCAACTGAATCAAGCGCAATGTCGTTTGATCTGAAGCGCTTTTTAATGCTTGTGATCTTACCGTCTTATTCCAATCTAGGAAGGCGTCTGAATTGGTACTCGAGTTCAAAATGAGATCTAAGAATGTAACCTCCCAGTTGAAACAAGGCGAAATAAACTAAATTTGAGTAATTTTGCTCAGTGCAGCCTACTGACCTAGTTGTGCAACAACAGAAGACAAGGGCCAGGCAACAGATCATTTATTAAGGTAATCAACGCATATTTATATTGCAAAAATGTTCATCCAGATATCTATATGTTTCCATGTACATTACTATGGTTATTTAAGTAAACAAACACAGTCTTCCGATTGGTTGTTTCTCACGTAAAGTTACTCTTTCATCTATTTATGACTGTTTCTTGAATGTCAAATCATCTATATGTTAACTGCATCCGCCTACGCAAGGCTGCTGTGGTCGGTTTTGAATCAATCTTTGTTCATATTTTCTCACGACAAATCTTGGGAACGTAAATATTGGCGTAAATTACTGTCTACCAATTTGGCTAGTAGACAGCTCTCACCACAGTTGTAGGGTTAGCTTCAATTTTAGACTCCTTCTATCCCTTTGATACAACAAACGACATGATCGAAATTATAATTCCCCATTAAGCAAACATTATCAGAATGTCTTTCTGACTATACTCTATGTGCATATAGAATTCCGCCTTCTCTATGACAGACTTGGCAGTTTCATAATCCCGTGTCTACCTGGTCTATAACCATTCCACATACACTGAATGACTCAGTGAGGTTTGTAGATATCGTTTAACTCAGAGGCTGGTTTATTTTAACAGTTGGTCATTGGTAATTAACTGATCAAGTCTGAAGGGAAATACAGCTACTATTTTTTCTACCTTACATAATTAACGGCTACGAAAAAGCCACTGGCGATAAAAACCACCTTGTTTTACACCCTTAATTTTCCTAAGTTTCTGCCTGATGTTTATTATATTTGTGCGTTTGGAGTAAACACAGGAGTCAGACAAGGGTGCTTGTTATCACCAATGATATTTCTAATTGTGGTGGACTGGATTATGCGTCAGACAGTAGGAAACGAGAAGACAGGGATATCCTGGACCACCAACGTGAACAACCTAGAAGACCTATATTTCGCGGATGACTCATGTCTGATGTCACACAAAATCGAAGACTTACAAGCGAAAACCGACAAACTGGTAGAAGAAGCAGCAAAGACAGGACTCTAGGTGAACACAGACAAGACGGAGGTTATGAAAATAACCAGTGCCAATCACCATCAACGTGAGGGATTTGAAAGAGGTTACTTCATTCACTCACTTATCTAGGGAGCATTGTCTCAACTACAGGCACATGGAACGGACGAGGATGTCAAATCGAGAATCGGGAAGGCGAGAAACACATTCATCAACCTGAAACCAATCTGGAAATCTTCCGCTGTCACTCACTCAACATCAACAACAAAATTCGGATTTTCAATACAAACGTCAAGTCAGTGAGTTCTTCTATACGGATCAGAAACTTGGCGGGACACAAAGAATATTTCCAACAGGTTGCAGACCTTTATCAACAGCTGTCTTCGTTCTATATACTCAAGATCAGATGGCCGGAAAGAATCACCAACAAGAAACAAACTATGGGAACAAACAAAACAAGAACCAATCGCCCAACAAATATGCAGGAGAAAGTGGAGATGGATTGGACACTCGCTGAGGAGGCCGTTGGGTGACATCGCGCGTCATGCCAGTGCTCGAGTGGAACCCGAAAGGGAAGCGGCGAGTGGTAAGTCCAAGGGTGACATGGAGGAGATCGTGTGAAGAGGAGTTGAAACAGTATGGACTAACATGGATGCAAGTGAAAAATACAGCAGAAGACAGAAGCAAGTGGAGACGTGTAGTTGAAGCCCTATGTTCCACAGGAACCCAAGGGAACAATAATAATAATCTGCCTGATGTTTCCTACAATCTTCAAATAACTCCAAAATACTGTTTCTGTTGGCATTATCGCAAGTCTTTGGTGATGTTCACCGTTTTTGAGCGCTGACCTCCCACTGATTGTTAGTCTTTAAACTTTTCGGTGAAGGAAGTATATGCCAGGTTCATATATATGTATGTGTTCACTGCTGCTCATAGTTATTTTGACCGTTGTTGAGACGTCTAAAGGGATTAAGATAAAACTGTTAAAAATGTTTTCACTTATAGTATACCAAACGGCGGTATAACGTACATTTAAAATGGCAAAATGTAACATCTGAAATGATTACAGTATTGTTTTTAACACGAGGTACAAATTTATTTAGTTCCGTGTACAATACTAACTACCTGAGAAAATACAGGCGAGGCTAGAAACTGTGTCCCCCCATAGTATGGTGAAATCAACAACAGATATTTCGACCTTGTAATAAATCGATAAAAAACCATTAAAAAAGTTGGGAGTAACTTCTAATACGATCACAGCATTAATTTAAGCATGCAATACAAAATCATATAAGACCGGCTACCTGAGCGAATTCAAGCACACTTGACGGTCTCTGTTCTAACCAGCCATGCGTTTTGAGATGAAAGTGGCAGATTTGTTTCGCGTCAACTTATATCCTCACTCCACACCATGTGTGGGAACACCTTTTGATAACTTTTATCCTCACCAGGTGACTGACATTGTGATTAATTATCACAGGAGGTTTCTTCAGTGCATTTTTGTTCTTATCTCCCGTAGTCTTCTAGGTGGCATTTGTGGCCTATCAATCTTCTACAGATCTGGTGTATGAGGTACTCGGGAATTATGACTCTCAGCACTTTGTTATCAGTGTTTCAGCGGTAAATAAATCCGTAAAATCAACAGCCCGTAACTTTATCAACATTTATGATTAAATGATGACCTTCATTGTTTTAATCGACTTATCAAGCCATATTCTATTGATTTTATGGATTTATTCGTCCCTGAGGTGTATAATTCATTAAACCGTTATAAATTCCCTGCTAGACAGCCTAATGATGTTATACACACTATTTATGAGTTTCAAATTATGATGAATTGGGACAACAATAAAGAATAGGCATCACACCTAAATGACCTTGTGCCAGTCAATGAGATGGTTTGATATGTCAAATAACAACTCTTGTGAGAAAGTGAAATACATTTTCGCAGCCGAAAAATATGCCCCAGATTTTCATGAATTTTTATTTGACATATAGGGGATCTAAGAAGTTCGTCAAGTTAATTGAACATCAGTCGCTCCACTGTCAACGAGCAGTTTGTTTATCTTTGCAGAGTGAATATAATTTTCAAGTGACTAAAGCTCAGAGGAGGCGTTGTGGTATAACTGTGTATTTCTATCATCCACTTCAGTCATCGCTAATAAACACACCGTTGAGAAACCATTGTGGTGAGAGCTGGCTGCGAGCAAGCCAAAATCGTAAACGACAATTTACGTCAGTGTTACGTCCGGAATCAGGATCATGAGAAAAAAACGATAACAAAGCTTAACCTTGAAGAACTCACCAACCAATCACAGCGGAATTAACGTGTGCAAACACGATTCGCATATATATGGCTTAACTTTCTGAGAAAAAGCCACAAGCAGTACTGAATAACGTTCAGAAAGAAAACAATCAATCAGAAGAGGTTGCTTCTCCGCTAACAATAATGTACATAAAAATCAATTAATACCTCTCGATTTTCTCAATAAAGGACCTGTTGCCTGGCTCTTGTTTCCTGTCGCCACACCGTAAGAGTCATATTCTCCCTTCGCTAGTTACGGTGGTGTTAAGAATATCCTGGTCACTAGGTTAGGTGGGTCAGGCTAAAGAGTCAGCAGGTATTGTGGCTAAAGCTTAGGGCTAACGAGCTCGAAGCCGTTCAAGCAGAGTAACTAATGGGTTTCCAAGAGATAGATTACACCAATTTCCATACATCAATCTATTTTGAAAGCTTAACGATTTGACTGGTTATTACCATTGATCATTGAGCAACGTATCTGTGTTTCAACAGTTGCCTGACACTGATTTTCTATGTTCAAGGTGCTATCAGTTCCAAAATGAAAAGGAGATTAGGGAAATATTTGAAAGTTTATAATAAGTAAAATTTCGTTTAAATATGAAAAGCATATTTATTCATTTTTATATCGTCAAAAGTATTTTCTAGGAAAAACGTAAAGCATAAAAAATTATCAAATCTATGATGGAGATAATCGAAGAAAACATTCATCATTTTTGTTTATCGATCCTTAACTAAAACCAAAAGATTGAACTAACTCCTTATTCGGGTGGTGTATCGACTGTCGAAATGCCAGATATGGCTAGCTGAACTAAGTGTACCATTCTGCGTATGTGTAACTGTCTCACTTTCACTATTTCGAAAGCCCCGCATAATTTGCATACATCACGACAGTTTGATGGATTGTTTTCGAGTAAGTTTTTCCAGAAAGACACAGAATTAATCTCCAATTTTTGTACAATCATTTCCAAAATTTTGTGTTGATCTATGAAGAGAAACAGAGAATCAGTTAGTTATTTTGGATCTGATTTTAAAGTCTTTATAATTCGGTCACTGAGCTAAATACTGTGGAAATGATTTATTCTTGGGTTTGGGATCTTCATTGCTAGATTTCATAAGTCAGAGGACAGAGAAAGGGTGGAAGAATTCCATATTAGTTTGTTTATTAGATGTACCACACAGTGAAACAATATTATTTACTGGATGACACAGTTTCGAACACAATCTATTATTGTTCATAATCATATCAATTATAATCACACGACTTCGAAACTCGAGTTTCATAGTTTTCTTTGTTCTCTCCTATTTGTCGTCGTAGGGGTAGTAGAATTTTCCAGATATCTGGGACAGATTTTTCGAACACATTAACTCAAAGGTGGAGGCAATTCAATTCACTTATAAATTGGAAAGTCAGGAAGGGGAACTTCCAGTGTTAGATTGTAGTGTAAAAAGGGAAGATGGGAAGATAAATCCTAGCGTTTACAGGGAACCCACACATTCAAACCGATATTTAGACTTCCGATCAGCCCATCCTATGTCAGTGAAAATAGGATTGTTGAATTGTTTAAATAATGGAGCACAAAAACTTAGTAGTACCAAGGAAAATCTAAGACAGGGAGTGAGGCATATAAGAGGAGAAGCTTTGCAAATTAATAATTACCCTGATAAATTAATCAGAAAGTATGTAGGGGAATGTGAAAGTAAAATAAATGATGATAGTAGTGATAGTGATAATAATAATAATAATAATAATAGTAATATTAATGACGACATGCATGTCAAACATGCGCAGGATAATGACAACACCAACAATAGGGAATCTAAATCATCAGTAGTAATTCCATACAAGGAAGGAACCTTGGAAACCTTATGCAGAATTCTTAACAATGCTCGAAGGAATAAAGGCGGCTGGCATTCAAATCCACAAACTCAATTAGAAACCAGCTATGTCGGTTAAAGGATCCTGTGGAGCCAATAGAACAAAACAATTCAGTTTATCTAATACCCTGTTTGCAATGACTGTCAGGTCAAATACATAGGTCACAGTAGTAGAAAAGGGGCAGTCAGACTAGTGGAGCATAGAAACCTAGCAAAATCTAGATTAGTAGACCCGAATAAGATAAGAAATCTAGAGAATAGCACTCATGACATTCAATTTTACACAACCATACAATAGGATGGATGGGATAGGATGACAGTTTTAAAATCTAATGTCACAGGGTGGAGGGAGAGATTGATAACAGAAGGTTTGTTTACTGAATCAACTGCAAACACGTTTCATTGGGATGATTGAACACCTTTCCAGTCGGATATCTGGAAAATTCTACTAACCCAACGACAACAAATAAGAGAGAACAAAGAAAACTATAAAACTAAAGTTTCGAAGTCATGTGATTATAATTGATATAATTATGAACAATAATAGATTGTGTTCAAAACTGTGTCATCCAGTAAATAATACTGTTTTCTCACTGTGTGACACATCTAATAAACAAACTAATATGGAATTACTTACTACCACAGTTTCACACACATATTAGTTAGGTGGAAGATTTGGGTGGTGGACTCGGTGCAAACAAAAGTGCACCTACCACTTAATCAATAAAACACAAACTTTGCGCCTAACAGTTGGTTATTAACTGAAGATTATATACTGATTTCCAATTGATGGTGAATATCAGTAGAATCCGGGATGCGTATTTCGTCCTATTTGAGACTCATCACTTGGGTATGCTTACAATCCTAGTGAGTGCTAGTATTCCGAATGAGACTCGAACTAGCAATCGTTGTTCTAAGCGCCACATAGAGAACTCATCGGAGATATACGTATATCCAGCTAACGAGTCCCAAGTAGGATGGAATGTTCATCCCGGATTCCACTGCTAGTCCCCATCGACCAGATAACTTCAAAAATCGTCAAAGTGTTCGTAGAAGGAGATGACATGTTAGCAGAGGCTGAGCGTTTCAGTTAAATATAATCAATCAACGGGAATTATAAAAATAACTTAAACAAATTTACATAATCTAAATAATTAGGCTGTTGGTTCTTCATCAGGATTAACCGTATTGGTTGTGTCCCACAAGTGCTAGATATCTATTGTAAAGAATTATGATAAGAGTATCTTATGTAGCCATCTTTAATAGGGTCCTACTGAAAAAAGGATTCTTAATGACACTCAGTCTTCAGTGGAACAACTGCTTTGTATAAATGTGTTAAATATATAATATATAGAACAAAGGCGGTAAATACATTTCTAAACAATAGACATTTCTATCAGGTTTGATCACTAAGGGGCTTCAGTTACAGAAGCATTGGAAATCAGGAGTACTGGACAGCCATTTCGTCCTTGTTTGAAACTCTTCAATAGTGTGCACCCATGATCCCCCTGGAGGTTGAAGCTATAAACTTCAGCCACTGGGTGGAATCTACTGATCCAACACTTCTAACTGCTGACAATTTGCCGTATATAGAATAGTCGCCAGACGGTTTCATCGGAGAGTGTCTGTCCTTACACCTGAGTGACTTGATGGACCCTACTACGGATCATGGCTTCTTATTAGAAATCCAGTGGTTCTCTAAATGAGGTCACTTCGTGTTTAAACGTGGAAACAGGTAAATTCATATAAACTAACACATGAAAATGTGTATCAGTTTGACTTTATTAATTTACGTTATTTTCATATTTTCTCTTTTGGTTCATATTTCTAAACATTCACTCTCTCGTTTTGTGAATTCTGCTTATTTTACTGCGTAATTTATTGTGTGTTAATCAACCTTTTTTGTTTAGTAATTCCGTTTCAATATTCTAGGACATCTTCTTTCTACAAAAAATATTTCATAATGAATGACAGACTTGCTAGTGTTTTAATTTAATTCTTTGTTCAGGGTACAACAAGTAAATAGACCGGTTTTCGTAACAAACTTAGAACACCTACGCAGATTGTATATCAGTGAAATTGGATCGTTCAACGAACTGGAGGTTTAATTAAATAAGGAAATGATTCTAATATATGAAAATTATTGATTTAATTTCGATGGTGATTTTACCACAAAAGAATGTATAGTTTTAGGGTGATGTGCACGAATGTAATACCACAAAGTAACTTGTATTGTTTTTACGAGTTGATCACGAATTGTTATCAGTTAGAGAACCATTAAAAGTGAGGGAGTACTAGGCAGCTGTTTCATCCTAGTGCTTGGGAATCATCGGCAGTACGCACTAGTACATAACCAGTGAGGTGCATCCAGTCAAGTGTGAGGATGGATGTCCCACCAATGACATGGGTTGGTGGTCGCGCTACATCACGAATCGGTAGAAGTTAGAATTTATGGGCCATTGAATCGGGTCCCAGTGGCTGAATGGTATACGAGCCAGCTTGCCTTGTAACCGGAAGGTCCTGCGTTGGAACCCCGATGGTTCCCAAACTAGGATAAAACAGGTGTCCGGTACTCCCTGGTTTTCAGTGGTTCTCTAACTTATAACAATTCGTCATCACCTAGTCAAAACAAATCTAATCCTTACAAACCAACTAATTAAAAAGCGTAGTATGTTGTGTTTTATTCGATTTCATAAAGTCGAGGTGTTTACTTCCGGTTGAAAATCCCAGTTGCAGTAGAACTGGAAATATTCCCTAGACAAACAGTGTGGTTAATTGCAAATTGTATCAAACGCTTTCTAGGCGATATGATGATGAATAATTCAGATTAAAAAACCACTGCCGTTATTTTGTAACTGACTACCAGTGGGGACGGTTTAAAGGTTATCTACTCAGTCGCCTTATTCATAACATAATCAACACATATAATCAATACTGACGCTTTGTATGACTAGGGAAACATGAATTTCCTGGATCTGGTTAGATAACTACCGATTAGAAACAATGAATAGCTAATCTGGTAACTCTAAACTACAGCAACCCAAAGATACAACCCAAGTAAACTGACGTAATGACATAGATAAAAACGATCTCAGATGAGCCCATAGTGATAACGCGGGAGTATAGATGCAGTGCATCAATTACATTACAAATTCCATCACGAGGTTGTATTTGAGTACATTCGGGATAATAAGTTTGTAGGAAGTTTGTAGATGTGGAGGAATAATGCCTTTACGGAGGTATGCAGCCACTGTTAGTGGATATGTGTACAGGTGTCCAGTCTGTCGTCATGGAAAATCTATCCAAGAAGATATGTCGTTCCTTTTTAAGGTTCATGGGTGCTGTTGAGCAGGGAATGGGTGGTGAAGCAGAATAATTTACAGTTTTCTGAATAAATTTATGTCCAGAAATAGTCTGGGACTATCACTTAAGATTTTAATCTGGAATTAAGGGGTTTCCTTAGGACATATTGGAGAAAGTTAGCTTGCAGAATAATTTTTCAACACTAACTTTGATTTTTATGAAAGAGTTTTTATAATATGCGCGCTTACTACAAGTTCGTCTGATTGGTTGATCAGAGTCATTACGTCTGTTTCTTTTGGTCTTTTGTTTGGGTTGATATAGTTTGGAGTTACCAATGATCTACTAACTGAAAATCGCTCAGTTCCTGCGTAACGTCCCTAGCTGAAGATTCTCGTATGGAATCAAGACATCTGATGACAATTACTGTTGTGATAGTAGACAAACTGATTTCTTTTTAATTATTGGTTTTTAGAGATTCATTTGATTTTAAGGTAAATCTCATAGTGAGGAGAGATCAGTCGAAGAGACACTGAAAAACTAGGCAGCACTAGATAGCTGTTTCGTCTCTGTTCGGGTCTCTTTAGCAACAATGCAACAACGAACCCAATTTTGAAAATTAATACATTTCTCAGTAGTAACTCCATTAAAGCCAGAGGATGTCATTCCTAACATAGAAGTAGCACTAGGTTCAATAGATAAGGCAACAGCAGGAGAGGTTCGAGCACAATGTGCATTAACCCTAAAAAATCAAAAGAAGGCAAAATCAAACTTGACAAAATCGGAAAGAGAAGCTTTAATTAATCTAAAACAGGATAGAAATATTGTCATCGCAAAGCTGATAAAGGAAACGCCACCGTAGTTTTGAATAAATCTGACTACATCAAGAAAGTCACTCAACATATTGAAATGGGTCCATATGAGGAAATTAAGAAGCCCATAGATACAATAATGAATAAGGTTAAAAAATCCACAGCGGAATTAGTACACAGAATGAAGCCGTCACTGGGTGAGTCTAAATGGCTTAATTTAATGCCTAAAACTAATAATGCTAGTAGAATGTATGGTACTATTAAAATACATAAACCAGGTTACCCCATACGACCAATAGTAGATTTCAGAAATACCTCTACTTATGAATAATGGATATGATTATGAGCAATAATTTGTGCACGAAACGTCATCATTTAATATTACTGTGTAACACAGTGTGATTTATCAAAATAAAATCTTATCTATAATGGAGTTACACTTTACTACAGTGCCCAAGTTTTATACTTATTTCTCAGTAGTGACTAACCGCAGGTTGAAATTATTGATCTTATAATAACAGGTTGCAATCAAGCCGTGTGTGAAGAGAGATAGTTAATGACAACAAGGGCTAGCGATGGGGCTATATGACGCTAATTAACAAACGTTAGGATTCATCGGCCATTGGATACTGACCCAATGGTTGTATGATAATATATCGCCTTCCATTTAACTTGAATTGATTGTTCTCAATCTCCCTAGCGGGATTTTCCTTCTAACTGCTACTGGTTCTTGATGAAATCTACCGTAAAAATGATATCTGACTTAATTTTCATTCAATGGAATACCTTTTAATTCGACATCACTGAGTAGAATATTCACCAGATCCGCTAATAGTACTGTGACACGCATATTTCCATAAGAGTCGTCGATATTATTCTCCATTGATGAATTGATTTTATGCATTTGTTCTTCTAAAAGTAATCCAAATGATTTCCATGATATTTTGTCATTTTCAAGAAGATGATGGAATATATCAGCTGATTGAGGACAGTTACATTTTAAAAGTAGGTTGAATAGTTCTTTCTCTGGATATTCAGTTGTGTTACTTTCATCATCTGAAAAGAATGAAAAATTGTATCAGTTTGAGTGAATACGATAATTTTGATTCGACAGATTGATAAATGATAAGCTGAAGTAGCATTGGAATACGAATCAGCCTTTAACGCTTAGATTAGACTGTCAGCTCTTTAAGAATATGACAGAACAATACTTCATTTAATTTTTCATAATTGGAATCTCTCTCTCGATGGATGCATCATTGTTACAAGCATTAATCGATACATTCTGATCTCTAAGACTGACAACTTCATGCTAGAAAATACAAATAATCTGAATAAGGAAAATACTTGTTCAACCATAGATGACTTTACCTGGCACCTAGTACAAACTGCATTGAAATGTCCTGCATGAGATCGAACGATTCATGTAAGTGCAATTCGCTCTCTGGAGAGTAGATGGCCAGTCGGGAAGGATAAACCACAGTGGAACAGCCAACAAACATACAGACGGGAATGGTGATGGATTGGAAATCTGCTGAAGAGACATGATATATTACGAGTGGGAAGCGATGAATAGGTGTCTAAATGTGACATGGAAAAGATCGTATGAAGAGCAAATGAAAGCTTGTGAGCATTTGTAGCGCCTTTCGAAATTCATATCAGAAGATTGAGTGGAAAGCGGGTGTGCATCTCGGAACTCAAGGAGCGAACAGCAATGGTGACAAATTGCTTTCATCTACCTTGAAATATGTTTTTCTTTAATTACTTTATCGATAGGCTAATAAGTATTTCCATCACATATGGGCTCAGACCATCATTTAGTTTAAGTTCTGAAAGCCTTCAGAACAACTTGAGACAGGCCACTGTAATTCATGTTCAACATTCTGAAACTGAAGGACAAAACTACAAGGGACACCTTCACTACAGATAAGATTAGAGCAAAGTGGCATCACTCAGGAAACCTGAGTGGAAGAACATTGGAACTAACTCTCTGAAGGTGATGTTCAAGGAAACGTCTACAACTGTTCTCGAAAACAAGAAGAGACAAGACAAGGAATGGCTCTCAACGGATAACTACCTCGAAACTAACCGAGGAGAGGAGAGGAGGGTTGGTGAAACAGAAGATGACTCAATGGAGAGATCGATAACAGAAGGGGAAGCTGAGTTCAATGTACACTGCACTGAATTGAATAAGGGAGTGAAGAAGAGTGCTAGGAAAGACAAAATACGATTCTTCGACACTGGCAGACAACTGAAGCAGAACAGACAGGCAGAGAGGCCGTAGGTAGAAGAGATCTCAGAACATTATTTCAGATAGCCAGGCTGCTCGCTTCATCAACCTTATTCAACAGTTGGCGATATGATAGTGCCACGTATCAGGTGATCCACAACGGGAAACTCAGACAGGCGTTAGAAGTGAATACGGGAGTAAGACTAGCTGGGTGCCTATTATCACTGATGATATACTTAATTATGGTGGACTGGATTATGCGTCGGACTGTGGGGAGAGAGGTGACAGGAGTACGTTGGACCACAGATGAGGAGACTCTAGAAGATCTGGATTTCGAAGATGTTATATTTTAAATGTCACACAAACTGGAAGACTTGTAGGTGAAAAATAAAAAACTGGCTGAAGAAGCAGTGAAGACAGGACTGCAGGTCAACATAGAGAAGACGGAGGTGATCAAGATAACCAACGAACAGCAACAAAAACAACAACCAGCACGAATCACTATCAACGGGAGAGATTTGACAGAGTTTACTTCTCTTACTTATGTGGCAAGCATCGTATAAACCATATGCAGCCGGAATGGATGAACATGTCAAAGTCAGAATTGGAAAGTCAAGATATACCTTCATCAACCTGGAACCAGTTTGGGAAAATCCTGCCCTGAATCAGTCAGCATAAACAATAAGATTCGCATTTTCAACACCAATGTCAAGTTGGTCCTTCTATGGGGGTCAGAAACTTGCAGTCTGTGCCACGAAAAAGATTTCGAACAGGTTGGAGACTTTTATCAACAGCTGCCTTCACTGGCTCCATACTGAAGATCAAATCACCAGAAAGAATTAATAACAAGAAACTCTGGGAACAAACCAACCAAGAGCCCAATGCTCAACAAATATGTAGGAGAAAATGGAAATGGATAATCCATACACTGAGGAGGCCGTCGAATATCATGGCACTTAATGCAGGCCATCTCGCTAGTGGAATCTGAATGGGAAGCGACGAGATGGTCCTCAGTGCAAGGGTGACATGGAGGAGATCGTGTGGTGGGAGAGCAGATGAGAGCTTATGGTCAGTCGTGGACCCAGATGAAGAGGACGACAGAAAATAGAGAAAAGTGGAGATGTGTTGTTGAAGCTGTAGGTTCCACTCGGAACTCAAGGGAATATTAATAATAATAATGATCACATAAAATAGATCATATACATTTTACTTAAATGAATGGTAAATAAATACGAACTATGCAGAGATAAGATTACAGTGAGGTGGATAATTAAAGATGTTCAAACGATCACTTCACATTATTATTATAGTTTCCTTGGATTCTGAATGGAACGGGGAGCTTCATCTCCATAAAAAGGTTCATAAATCTGTTTATTTACATCGTATAAATTGTAACTGTTTCGAAAATGCTTTTTGACTAACCACTAAAGATAATTTGACAGATTCTGATCACCGTATCAGTTTATTTTAATGGAATAGGTAAATCCTGATAAGCACATTAGTGGTGTTAACCAAGCACCTTGGCGTTTATAACCATAGCAGCTGAGTTCAGTTTTTAGTGGGAAAATCATCCCTTACAGTGGGAGAGTGCAAGCATGCCCAACTGATGAATCGCAGATATGACGAACATGCATCTCAGACCTCCATGCTGGCCATTATCAATCACATAAAACATAGAAGAGATTAGTATTTACCATTAAGACTTTCTGATGTAAAAACCTGAAAGAATACGCCTCTCATTTGTGGACGGTATTCAGCACAGCATTTTATTATTTGTTTACAAATTTTTAATTGTAACAGGTTTGTGAATAGGAATCATACAAACTTTGTATTTGTTATAAATATTTCTCACCTTTACACAATCCACAGTTGTCTAATAATTTAAGAATATGATTCACCTTTCGAACTATCAGTAAACAACGTAAACACTTAGTTCGACATCTTTTCAATGTTTCCAATGATTTTTGTTTAACTCCAGTATTATAATTATTATTATTACTACTGCTACTAAGTTTTATGATTTTGCTGTAGATATTTTCACATATTGTTTCGTATATATAACTGGAATATTCAATAATGGAGGTGTTTGTTGCATTCGATTTAAAGATAATATCTGCTATTGATTCATTGATCATTGAACTAGAGAGGAGAAAAAAAGAAAAAAGACAGCAGACAAAAGGCAGCTATGATATCTCATCGCTTTCTGACAGAGATCCTATGATAATGATGCAAAGACATTATCACGTATTACTGCGCATACGATCAGCTTGAGATGAATAGCTTAGTCGTAAATCTCTTACATATCTTGTAGGCACCACCTTCAAAATTAAATGCGACTATTGGATTCTACGTGAATGAAATAATCCTCTTTCTTGATAACCTCCACTGGGATTGGCTGTCGTCAGAAGGTTCTCATACCCTTGTATTCACTTATACAACTGAAACAGGATGAAACTATTCATCATCATCATCAGTCCCTTGACTTTCGTCGTGGGGGTGCTATGACAGTTCGCGCTATCAGTCTTCGCCATTCTTCTCGGTTTAATGCTATTTTCTGTAGCGTATCCAAGGGCATTTCAGTCCACTCTTTTATGTTGTCAAGCCAGCTCTTATTCGGTCGACCTCTCTTTCGTGCTCCCCCTATTGTGCCCTGTAGAATTGTTTTGGACAATGTGTCATGTCTTACCGTGTGGCCGAACCATTGTAGTTTCCGTTTCTTTACGATTGAAAGGAGTGGTTCCTGTTTTCCTGCCAGTCTATGGACCTGGTGTAAGACATATTCATTAGTTTTCCTTTCAAGGTAACTTATTCCTAGGATCCTTCTATAGCTTTTGTTTTCGAAGGCTTGTATTCTTCTTTCTGTCTCTGCATTCAGGGTCCAGCTCTCACATCCATATAGGAATACAGAGAGGACCAGTGACGAGTAGAGTTTCATTTTTGCTGAGACGCTGATGTTGCTCTTCCATATTTTCCCTAACTTGGACATGGTGGCAGAGGCTAGGTTTAGTCGAATTTTTATTTCCTTAGTGGACCTTCCATCTTTTGTTAGGGTAGACCCAAGGTATTTGAAAGTTTCAAACTCTTCTAATACATGTCCATCAAGTCTGATACATCTATCTGAGTTGTTTCCTCCGTTAATGAGTATTTTGCTTTTTTCTGTGCTGATTTAGAAAGGAATATAATTAGGTGGAGAGAGACAAGTTAATCAGGGAGTCTTTGTTTGTAGATTCAACACCGCAGCACACGTGCAGTCGGAATGATGCAACATCTTTACCGGAGATATGAAAAGTGGCAACAAACAGCAAAGGGAAGTTGGAAAGACAGAAAGAGAGAAAATATATATAAGACAAATTGTGAAGCCTTGTGACTAAGTTGACATGATTATGAGTGGCAATAATTTATGTTCGAAACCTTGTCTGTCATCCAGTGGTTGATAGTACATCATCACTGTGTGACATATGAAATAAACTTATCTAATATGGAATTACATTCTACCACAGTGCCCAACTGCTGCACTTACACTAGATGACTGTAGATGACGTCGTTTTGAGACCCATTTATCGTCCGTATCCTCATTTTTTTGTCTCCATCAAAATTCGCCTACTAAATTCATGTGAGTACCAGCGATGGGCTGTATAGATTCTATAAAATGGTTGGCTTTATGATGAATATATAGGCAAATGACACTAAACTGTTATGCACACCTCATTTACTAGTGTGTATTGTGATGTCTGTCGATAACAGTCTAGTTATTATAAAGACTAAAGTTGTTAATATATCCTTTCCGTAAGGCTGTGTCATATAATCCAAACACATATTCGTTATATGCTCTGCGATGACCTCATTTATTGTTGTTTTATCAGAATGATCTCATCGATGTGCACTACTGCACCGTCTCTTCTTTATTATGCAGTTATATTTCCTATCTTACATGAGCAGTATCTCTGTAATATGGTTACCACTGGGAAGTTGACACTGGAAAGGTTTCTGTTTCTGCAACTGTAACTCTGACAGCATGCTTCAATATCCAGTAGTTACTTCGACTCATCAAGGAGGAATTTTCTTAAGAAATAATACAGTCAGCAACTTACAATGATTGAAACTCGTTCGCTTTTAATAGTTAGTGTAATGGAGCACGTAGACATCAGTAGTTGTACTCAGACATTCTATACTCATACTATATTCACAAGAACAAACTCTTCTACTACTTATATAGTCTTACATCTAAGCAATATTGAAAGACCGTTTTCATCAGTTCGTAGACACCGCAGTGTCAGAGGAAGCATTTGAATTTAAATGAGCAGTTTAGCCGCTTTAACTCACTTGATGAATGTGGAGGGGGGGTTACGCTGAAAGTCATTAGTGCGTTGACGTCTATTGGATGTCCATTCGTTAACTTAACCATTATCAGTGAAATTTCTCGAAAAATAAAGTTTGGATAGTACAAACATCGTCGAGCCGCTCTCTGAACATCGAAACACCCATTGGAACTCGGAAAGACTTGTAAATCTAGGGTTCGTGGATCTCTGTATTATTGAATCAGGCTAAAAAATTGTTTTTAACAGTGTTGGAACCGTAAAGTTTCAAAAGTCACACAAAACTGAATCCCGATTATTTATACAAGAATGATGGGTTTAGACAGTATATGACTTGAACCTAATATCCACTTTCCACGAACCAAAATAATCAACTCAAATGTGTTAATCTCTTATCATCGCGTGAATACACGTTATTTTTAACTCGTGCAATAATCAAATTTGTTATTCTTCACATATTTGTAATACTAGATGTTTGAAGGTGGTCAGCAGTAAGTCCTGGATCCAGGTTTTATGCCGGTTAATACTCTTCAGCAAGGTGTATCTGCAATCCTGAAGGAACTCGTGTCCGCCACAATGTCAAGTGACCAAGCTTAATGACCACACTGTAAACTGGACTGATAGAGTTCCGTCTGTCATGATGATTCCGATTGAAGTTGCATCTAACAGGACTTCAATAATTATCACCCTTCAAGCAAATTCACCATGGAATTTGAAAGTGAATCAAAGATTTCATTCTTGGACGTCGGATTGACAAGAAGTGATGAAGGAGCTTTGAAAACATCTGTCCACAGAAAACCATTGTGGAATGGCCAACAGAAAACTTTCCATAGTTGGATACCAGTCATTCAAAAAATAGCTCTCATCATCTCACTGGCCCATCGTATCAGAAGAATTCGCAGGAGTAACTGCTTAGAAGAAGAGCTCTTATTTCTCCAAAATATCCTGACTGAAAATGGATAGTCGGCTGCTTTCGTGAAGAAGAACATGAAACTAAAGCCAAAAAGAGAAGAGTACACTTCAGTATCAAAGTAAATACTGTATATGGATCTAGACTTTAGGGGAGACCTAGCTGTAGGTCACCTTGAGAGGAGAATTTCCAGTTTTCTAAAGAAGACATTTCATGTAACAACTCTAAGAGTGATATTCTCTAACAACCCACTGCTTCTCAGCAATGTGTAGAACACACATTCGCATATGACCACTCTAATGTGCATATATCAGTTCGCCTGCTTCTGAGGAGCTAGGTATATAGGTCGTTCTATACGAATCTTATCAAAACGTGTTACAGAACATTACCCAGCATGGATGCAAAGAGGAGGCACTGGTTCAATCAGAAGCACCATAAATGAACACCTGGTCAACACTGTCACGACGTCTAAACTGACTAATTATTCAGAGTCATTTACAAAGTGGACAAAAATTTACAAAAGACAGTCGGTGTGTTTCCGACTTCTTTGTACTGCTGAATCCCTTGCCGTACGCATCGAAAAACCGGAGCTTTGTGTTCAAAAGAAACTAGTTTGACCTCAACATTTACCATGGATGTAATTCGGTTTGTTTCCATAGATCCTGTTTTTCATCTTTACTTATAAAAATTATTATTTCAGTTTGTTCTCATGCTCGTTCCATTCACACCTGTATTCGTTGAAAAACTGTTTTCTAGTCCTGTGTAATTTTGTTTCTAAGCTCCTCTTGTAATCTATATTCACGGCCTCGAACCTTCATAACAAGTTGAAAATTATTATCACCTCTAATCTCCTCCTTCGTTATTATGTGGAATTAAATAACAATAATAATTGTAACTATGTAAACCTATGTATATAAATGCGATTCTACAGACGCTTTTGAGAATGAAATCGGCGAGAAAAAAATATCTGTTTGCTGAACTTATTGCTCTTTTCTCTGGAGTTCAATCTGTACCAAAAAAAGGACTAGACGAAGGTGACTACCGGTGACTTCCAAATGATGAATCAAAAAGAGTACAAACTGGTTGTCTTGACGACTTAGAATTACCTGATAAACAGAAGAACTATGATTGAGACAGATATATATAAGCTGAGATTTTATAAATTCTGGTTTATTATTTTGCTATTAGCAGCATTAAATTGCGAAATCTTAGTAACGACAGTATCATTTTGTTTTTCACTCATTAGGAGATACAAAGTTTTTGTCATAAACTTATGATGTCTTAAAAAAGGGTATTACACCTTACATTATTGGCAAGTGATATATTAATCTTAATAATAAATGGGTAATCGGTGCAAAGTGTTATAATGTCGATGGTATGAATGTTGTAATAAGTAGTATAAGTAGTATATACGACTGTTAAATTAGTAAAACTTCCAACTTACATATTTCTTTTAATCCATTTCATTAATAAATTATCATATCCATTGTCTAACAGAATTGGAATGGATAATTTGATTAGATTTTGTGTAAATTTAGTTTGATGTTGGTCACAATTATCCTCAGCATCTTCAATGTCTTTTTGAAAGATACTCACTACAAACTGGCGTAATATGTCATCTTTTCTCTGATTTCTGCTAATACCTAGAGGAAATGAAGGACTAAAATGTCAACGCGGAAGCATCTACAATCGCAGTGGTGTAAACAAAAAGGGGGGTTTCATTGGAAAAGTTTATTTTTATAAGATGATACCATAGTAACTTGTGACAAACCAACAGATGCCACAGAAATTCTTCACCGGATAGATACAGTAAAAAAAGCATATCATTAACAATATTCGTGGAAGCAAGTAACGACTGCTTGCCATTTTTAAATTTTTAAATATTTCCATTGTTGTTTTTTTTTTTTGATAGCGTTATTAGAAGACGGAGATTATCTGGAAAATGTGATGTATTCACAGCTTCTGTCCATTACAATATAAGAGAGGCTTGGTGAAGTGTCTGTTTAAGAGGATTTAGCGTATTTGCACGGCTGATGTCATAAACAAAGAAAACGAAATATTGGTGGATACTCTTGTTGAAAACGGATATCCTTTGAAATTTTTGAACAGGTGTAGAAGTCAACTAGCCTCTAAACCTACAATCCATACCGTCCCTAAGAAAAAGGTTTTCATCAAATTACCATATAATGGGGAAATAAATAGTAGGATTTTGAGACAAAGGTTGAATTCCATCATCCGTAGAACCTACTATGCAGCCCAGCTTGTAATCGTGTGGAAAAAGCTAAAATATGGTTCACTGCAAACCTCAAAAGTGAACAAGTGATTATATCACATCCCACACAACTTACCAATTTTCGTGTGTATGTGTGTGGACATACATACATAGGGAGGAGTAATCGCGCGTTGCACGTGAGGGTAGGAGAGCATATCCCAAAATGGTTAGAAAAACAGATGAATTGTGACAAGGCCATAGATGTAGGTGTCAGACTACCAACTTCGTCTATAGCTAAACATCTAATCGAGATGAACCATAAGGTTGATGTTAACTCAGCCTTTAAGGTCATCTATAAAATCGGTCAAGGACGTTCACTGAAATACACTGAGGCTATAGCCATTCATAAACTTAAGCCCCCTCCCCCTTGAGTATTCAAAAACCGTTTGTTATTACCCTTAACCTGCCTTGGTAATCCTTGTTTGATTGGATTACCAAAGGTTTGTGTTATTTATTCTTAATTCCTCCTTTTTTATCACTTTGTTTAATTTAACTTTTCCATATATATTGACTTGACAAGTGAATGTGTGAGGGATCAGATTGTTGGAAATGTATAGCGCAAATACATCACATTGCTTTTCAGATAATCTCCGTCTTCTAATAATACTATCAAAATTTATATAAGGGACTAATTGTTTTAAATTCCCATTGTAAATATTAGAAGATATATAAGCGAACAATATAGTTGTTTTCAGTTAGGTCTTCTTCAGGCTTTACTCTAATTTACATAGATTTATATACAACAATTTTAACCAATGACGGTGATTTTGTGGATCAAATAATAATATTAATAATAATGTGTTAAGCGTTTTAAAACGTCATTAATTACAATGATTACAATGATAACCAATAATAATGACAATAAGGTTTATGCAGGAGGCGATAAGAATAACAAAGGTAGTAATATGTGTATGTGTAGACAATTCAATAAATAGATCAGGTCAAATCTTAAAGGTTACGTAATACTAAAGGTGAAGTGGACAGATAATCAGAGTTTAAATAAATATCATAAAAGTAGGAAGGAAATGGAAGATAAGAAAGGGTGGGAGGGTTTTGATTAGAACTCACCTAGGCCAAACAAGGGAGAGACAACGATAGAACAAACTTGTTTTGTATGCAAAGACTAGGATTATTCTCTCAAATTAATTCCCATGGCTTCGGCTATGTGTAAAGGGCGGGTTCGAATACTATTCGAAATGTTCCATGGAATGAGGCAGATAACTTCGAAGGCACTATTCCTGTCCACTTGGTGACCACTATCATCAATCGAATGAGCCAAAATAGAACTTCTTATAGATTTTATTTGACCTCTTCCGAAGCATGAAAATGAAAAATGATCGGTTTGTCCAAGTGCAGTATGCCATTGGACTTCAGACATCCAGGTAACTCATCCCTTAGGAACGCTTTGTTTTCGAATTTCATTTCTTCCCGTTTGACTCCAATAAGAAGTAATTTTTCCTGACCTTATGATTTCTACTCACCTTATTACATCATTATCTTTTCATTTGACCTCTCACAGACCAGATTTTGATCTCCTCTTACGTAATTGCTACTAATTTCTTGTTACCATCCTAACATCAAATCTGTCAATTAATTTTTTCAAAAACTTCTCTCTAACAAAATGTGTGTGTATATACACTGTAATACTTCAGATACTTTATTATCCTGATGTTTTTTTTCACTGTGACTCTCTATAGTATGCCTGTCAATAGACAAAAATTATAGGCTGTGCTCAGCTGATGAGAACCAACGAAATAAAGTGGATCCATGTTATTGTGTACCAATGTCTGTTCTTTCTTTACTCAGAAAGATAATTTAGATAAAGCAATAAGAAGACGTAATTTATCTGAATCGTGTAATGTGTATTTGCGCAACACATTTCGAACAATCTGATCACACACGGACTTGTCATAGGAATATATGTGAAATTAATAAAGAGGTAAGAGGTGAGAAAATAGACTTAGGTCAAGTTAAAACGATATATTCAGTGTCAAAGTAACAATGAAGACCACTAAACCAAATAACAGAGGTGATAGTACATCTGCTATGGTATCAAAACAAAATTTACCAAGGAAAAATTAATGTGATGAATTGTTTTTGAACACATAAAGGTGGTTTAAACTATCTAATTACCAGCTAGGGCTTCCACAAACTTTAGGATACGCCCCAAACACGTTTTATAGATAGGTTTAAAAGATCTGTTAACGTCAATTTTATGTCCTGTCTCTATAATATGTTTCGCAATAGAAGAGCTAGGTTTCCTGTTCTCACCGTTAATAGGTTCTGAAGATTCCATTTGTTTCTGGAGCCATTTAGGAATATGCTCTGAAGCCCATACTTGCAGAGATCGATGAGTCCTCCCTATGTATGTGTGTCCACACGTACATTCAAATTGGTAAGTACTGTGTGATGTGACGTCATTTTTCGCATGTTCGAAGGGCTTAGACAGATATATTGGCTTTACATTCTCTATTATTATGATATTGACTGCATAAAAAGTCTTTTTAACAGCAGCGTTCAGTCTTTGTCTAGTTATCAGGCTGCTTTGATGCCCCATATAGGGTAACTTGATGCACACGTCTTTCTTAGGGGCGAGTTGGAGAGTGGGTCTTGGTGTTCTGACTACTTTATATCTCCTAATGAACTTGTCTGGATAATTGTTGTCAACCAGAGTTTGTGTCAGCATTCTTTCTTCCGCATCAAGTGTATCTTCAGTGCATATTCGTTGGATTCTACTGAAGAGGCACCTTACTAAAGATAATTGTTTATCTTTCCTGGCTAGGTTACTTAGTCATGGCTTATACACAAAACCTAGCTGGGCAGGACAATAACTTAATGAATACAGCTTCTCTCCTATTCGGTACAAAAGAGCATTTAGTGAGATGTCTCTTTAGTAGGATTCAATGAATATGCCCAGAGAATATACTTGAAGATGAGGAAAGAAAACTGACATAAACTCTGGTTGACACTGATTATCCTAAGAAGTTCGTAAGGAAACATAAAGGGGCCACAACACCAAGATCCATTTTCCAACTCACCACTAGGAAAGACGTATATATGAAGTTACCTCACATGGTTGATCGTAGCAGTTCATTAACTAGACAAAGATTGAACATTGCGGTTAAAAAGACTTTCAGTGCAATCAAGATCCGAATAAGTGAGAATATGAAGTCTATATATCCATCTAGGCCTTCACAGCAATGTGAAGGGTGATGACAAATCCCACTATATCTACTGGTTTTGACGTTTACTGATAAAAATGGTAATCCTTTGCGTTCTGTTGCATTTTTCTACAGAAAAGTATGACAAATATCTATGAGATCAGAATGTTAGAAATGTATTGCAAAAATATGCCTTAGACGTTTTAGACAAATTGCGACTTCTTATTGTTCTGACGAAAATCACAAGGGGAATTAATTGCCTTAAATATAAAATTTATCTCTGAGGTACCAGAATGTATCCGTAAGTTTATGAGGATCAAAAAAGTTTGTCGAACCAAATGAGTTCCAGATGTTCAGTCTTTCACGATCGACTCTTTTTATCCCTACTGCTGGAGATCAATGTACAGTATCATGGACATTCGACTTGGTTGCGTTTTTCATTGGTTATTCATAACTATCATTTCGAATTATTTCATTTACCTAAATGCACCTTTGAACAGCCGTGAGTTTATTATTCTCTTCTTCTCTGCTAAACGTGAGCTTTGTTCACACAACTGACTGGTTAGCTCCTTAGCCTACCTCATTGAAACCTAGTGACCAGAGTGCTTCTCTTAACCTTGAAATCACACCTGTCATTGCTCCTTCAAACACTTTAGTGGTCTTCGCCAGTAGAGATAAACGAGATTGATCGCCTACCATGAAATATCTGAAACTTATGTGGTTCCACAAATTTCATTAATCTGCTAAATAGGTTTTTTTCTTACACAGAACTTGGGGAGAATAAATAAACATGAACCGAAGGTGTATGTGTATCTATACGGTTACTTACTTTCACACACTTTAAATAATTGAGTTAACAAATCACAGTTCTCTTCCCCACACTCATTTATAAGCGAAAATGCTTCATTATTTCGTCCTGTTTGAAGTAGCTGAGTAAATTGAGTCACTGTTATTGAACATCTTTTAGAAAGAGAAGGTGATGGCAGTTCCCGGTACTGGGAATTAACATTCTAAAGTCTAATAGATGTATTAAGGGTGGAACAGGTTACATTTTCAATATTCTCCGAATTATTTCCTTTGACTGATTGATCAGCCAATAGTGACAGCGGTAGATCACCATTGTCATCTTCTTGTACGGCTTTATTTTTATCCGAATTGATATGGTTATACAAAGCAACCAAAATACATTCACCAATACACTTAGCTGGCAGATGTTCTTGTTCTAATTTCCAAGAGTTTAAACAAACTTTCAGACGTTCAATACGATTTTTTAATGCTTTATTAACTTTCTTTTGACAATTAACCTTTTCCAATAAATGCTGGACATTTTTCTGACTTGTAGCCTAAAATAATTTTTAAAAAAATTGTTGTTTAAATTATTGTGAGTAAATTTTAAATGTTCAACGTACTATATCAGATTTCAATTTATACTCCTCTTGTAAAGATTTCTCCAAGGCTAACTTTGTTTTACACAAATAATCACGCAGCCGTTTCATTTGTTTTAAGTTGGTTGCGTCATTTATACCGAAATCATGATATCGAGATTTTAAGTAATACAATCGTTTTCCTGTAATACTGGGTTTTACTTTAGTCGAAAAACTTTGTGAGATAGTTTGAGCATCGACTAAAATATTTTCCATCTCATTATTTTCTTTCTGTAATCTTTGAATTCTTGGGAAAAAAAATATAAAAATTATTCCAGAAAAGAAAATGTTTTACTTCTGCTGAATATCTTCTATAATGTTCTTTAGAGTGTCTTCTATTAGTTGATAGTCTTTGTCTGATAGTGTTTCAGCTGTATTAGCTTCTTCCGATATTGGTGGTAAGTGGTGTCTGCATAACTGAATAAATTCTGATAGCCATATTTTGTATTTTGATTTCTTCTGCATAATCTAATTTGTGACTGAATTCAATTTCAGTGTATTACTGTCAACATATTTTGACCAGTATGATCCTGTTCACTTGAATCACCATTATTATTATTATGACTGTTATTAGTATCGCTAAACATTCGATTTTTGACTGAAATCAATTTTAGCGGATTAAATGTGGTAACTAAGCAACGCCTGATTATTGAATTTTGTACGTTGTTCAAGGTCAAATTAATCAGAAATGATTGGTCAGAACTTTTCCCCGAAGAATTTGCTTAAAATTGAAAACCATTAGATTTAGAAAGTGGAATGCTTAACACTAGAATACCCTGTGTTACATGATCATTCAGAAAACGCCATGTTTCATATATTTGATGAGTAATTAAATGAGCGTAACTCAGAATATATTTTTTCTGTCGCTCATTTTCAAGTGTCGGTTTGTAGGGGTTTGATGGTTAACAGGGTTGACGATGAGCTGACATCAGTTAGAGAACCACTGGAAGACCACCAGGGTCTACTGGAAAGATGTTAAGTCCTAGTTTTGGACTCTTAGAAAGTACGAACCAGCTGAGGTTCGACTGCAAGACCTTTAGCCGATAATTTTCTGATGACTTACGTAGTTCTTTAATTTATTGCTCAACATTTCATCTTCAACGTAATAAATCGGTGTGGGCAGTTGATAGAAAATACTGATAGAACAAAATGTGTTCTAATCACTTCTCTCAAATTAAATAAGGGGAATTCATGCATGAAATAAAATTTTGACAATGCAGTAAGATGGAATTTATTTAAAAGGTCCAATGTGTATTTGCGTAACACATTGAGGACATTCTGATCTCACATGTACTTGGCAGACATGTTTATATAGAAGGCAACAGAGTATAAAGGAGCAAAATGTTGTCAGTGTACACTAAAATGTCTGTGGATCGCGGTCATAGATAAGACATAAGAAACATTATATATTATTAAAAATAATCCTGGCGTGTTTAAGAGAAAAAGTCCAAAACAAGATTTTTCTGAACGTTTCTCTGCATAAAGTGCCATAGCTTCTTCAGCAGAATTATTCAGATTTTATTAATCATCAAAATATATAGTCATAAAATTACATAGATTGAATTGAGTTCCTTTGAATACGGATATACGAAAAACTAAAAAATAGAAATCATCATTTTTTCGGTCCCCGGCCGATGCACTCCTTTACCTTGCTAAGCTAGTTATAAGACTATTAGAGAGGGAAGGTTGGCCATGCTCTGAGGAAACCATCAAGTGACATCACTAGACAAGCCCTTGAGTGGAACCCGAAAGGGAAGCAGCGAGTTGGCCGTCCAAGGGTGACTTGGAGGAGGTCATGTGAAGAGGAGATGAAAACTTGTGGACAGACTTGGAGCCAGGTGAAGACTCTAGCAGAGAACCGAACGCAATGGAGACGCACGGCTGAAGCCCTATGTTCCTCTAGGAATTAAAGGATAAAATAATAATAAGAGAGGGGAGGTTAAGCATGAGGCTAGCAACCCCATCCTGTAAAAATAAATATCACTGGTACCGAAACTTAAAGCATCTAGTGTGAAGCCCCTATGTTCCACTGGGAAGGTAAAGGAATAAAAAATATCGATACAAATATCTACCGACAAGTGACCTTCAGAGGAACTGACTTCAATTTATGTAATTTTTTGACTATTTATTTTGATGACTGATAAAATCCGAATAAGTCTGCTGGAAAGTGCGTCGGTGGCAAAGCGGTTAAGACGCTCACTGACCATGCACATGGTCCGGGGTTCGATACCCGGCCACCGATGCACTCCTTTACCTTGCTAAGACCGGTAAAGAGGGAAGGTTGGGCATGAGGCTAGCAACCCCATCCTGTAAAAACGAACACCACTGCTACAGAAACTTCAAGCCTCTAGCTTGAAGTCCTATGTTCCAACAGGAATGTGAAGGAACAAAAAAATCTGCTGAAGAAGCTGTGGCAGCTTATACAGAGAAACGTTCTTTAAAATCTTGTTTCAAATTTTTTTTCTTAAACACGCCAGGATTATTTTGAATAATTTATAATGATTTAGTGTGATTCAGAGTTTAAATTATTCCAGGAAGTTCGTAACATCTACGGTGAGGGAGTTTTATAATGAAACTGTGCTAAGAAAAAAAAAGCGAAAATACAAATGACTGAAATGAATCTTAATTCTAAAATTGGATTACCTAGTCAGGTTCAAAGAAATGACAAATAATTTTCGAATATATAAAAGCAGGTCAAAGGCTTATTATTGTCAAATGTTGCAGCGAATTTAAGTAAGTGACCCAAATGTTTTTACGAAATGAACTTCATGACTGGTTTGTATGACGGATGATTTTAGACATCTGTTTCCCAGGTGATTTTACTTATTCTTGCAGTTACGCATTCCTGACCTTCAGGGATCGGTACCCCCTCACAATGTTCTTGTGACCATGCATACATGTAAACTGGTAAACGCGGTTGGATGTGATACTATCGTTTGCATACTGTGACAGTCTATAGGACAACATAAATTTCCTTTCCTCTATAAAAACGGATTTGACTGCATAATGAGTTCCGTTGAGTAGCGATCTGAGCTTTTGTTTATTGATTAGGTTTTGGTGATTTCCCTTTAACAATAAAGATAAAGAAATTAATAGCAGCTTTATTCTGAGCGATTTATTTATATATGCATTACAGAACTAACATAAACATGATTCCTTAGAAAATATTTATTGCCTGCATAAAGCACCTTCATGAAAATAATAATCGACAATATACCGCTTAATGCAAAACTTCTCAGACATTAAAGACAGTACGATTTTGCATGAAACGCTTATATCGTTGCTCCGTGAAAATGTATGCTAGTAAGCCGAAAGTTGTGCGTCGGTAGCACAGTGGTTAGGACTCCCGCCGACCATGCACATGGTCCGGGGTTCGATTACCTGCCAACGCACACCCGATATCTATGGTCGGCCTGTAAAATTTGGGCTACCGGTATCCATGCTGAAAATTCCATACTTCTACCAAAAGTACTGTGTGGAATCAAGCTGTAAACAAAATAAAATAAAGTTGTTTAAAAATATGTCGTTGTATCATCATCATCATCAGTCCCTTGACTTTCGTCGTGGGGGTGCTATGACAGTTCGCGCTATCAGTCTTCGCCATTCTTCTCGGTTTAATGCTATTTTCTGTAGCGTATCCAAGGGCGTTTCAGTCCACTCTTTTATGTTGTCAAGCCAGCTCTTATTCGGTCGACCTCCCTTTCGTGCTCCTCCTACTGTGCCTTGTAGAATTGTTTTGGACAATGTGTCATGTCTTACCGTGTGGCCGAACCATTGTAGTTTCCGTTTCTTTACGATTGAAAGGAGTGGTTCCTGTTTTCCTGCCAGTTTATGGACCTGGTGTAAGACATATTCATTAGTTTTCCTTTCAAGGTAACTTATTCCTAGGATCCTTCTATAGCTTTTGTTTTCGAAGGCTTGTATTCTTCTTTCTGACTCTGCATTCAGGGTCCAGCTCTCACATCCATATAGGAATACAGAGAGGACCAGTGACGAGTAGAGTTTCATTTTTGCTGAGACGCTGATGTTGCTCTTCCATATTTTCCCTAACTTGGACATGGTGGCAGAGGCTAGGTTTAGTCGAATTTTTATTTCTTTAGTGGACCTTCCATCTTTTGTTAGGGTAGACCCAAGGTATTTGAAAGTTTCAACCTCTTCTAATACATGTCCACCAAGTCTGATACATCTATCTGAGTTGTTTCCTCCGTTAATGAGTATTTTGCTTTTTTCTGTGCTGATTTCCATGCCCACAGATTTGGCTGCAACATCAAATCTGTCGTTGTATAGATTACGATAACTAGTATGTACCTGAATAAGTAAAAAAGATATGAGATAAAATGAAACGAATGTATTACGTTAACTTGAAAATTAGGCAACCGAGAGTGATTTTGTGGTGAGAGCTGTCTGGAAGACAAAACTGTAGACTACAATGGACGTTAATGTTTACTTCCCGAATCGGTGTCATGACAAAAAACAAGAACAAAGCTTGATCTTGAGGAACTCACCATCTAACCACAGAAAACTTGACGTGTGCAAATACGATTCACAGATATATGGCTTAACTTTCTAAGAAAAGGTCACAAGCAGTACACTATAACGTTCAGCAAGAAAACAACCAATGAGAAGCCGTTGCTTCTCCCCAAACAATAACGCCAATAATAATGTACATAAAAATGTATGAATATCTGTTGATTTTCTCAACAAACGATCTGTTACTTGGCCCTAGTCTTCTGTCGTTACATTTGAAGCAGGTTTCTAATATGCTGAATGGCTTGTTTTAAGTAGCAAATGCAATTATTGATCTAACATTACAAACTGTGACATGAAGAGACAGAAATATGACAAAATTTTAGTTTTTAATTTTGACAATATCAGATAGTTAAATCACCAAGAAGAAGATATTTTCGTCGAAAGTGTCTAATGCAGTGATTAATTAATTTTTTATTTTTACTGATTTTGACCCTTTATGTTCACAGTGGAACATAGGGATCCAAGCTAGAGGCTTGACGTTTCTGTAGCAGTGGTGTTTATTTTTACGGGATGGGGTTGCTAGAAGCCTCATGCCCAACCTTCCCTCTTTACTGGTCTCACTACCGGCTAAGCGATGTAAAGGAGTGCATCTGCCGGGGACCGAACTTCGAACCACCTATGTGGCTGGCGGCCATTCTACGTTTATTTTACCTCTGAAGGTGAATACTTTCCCCAAGTTCATAACGTTGCTATTAACAGTTCATTAGTACTACTATTAGTCAACACTGAAAATCTCTTCGATGCCTTTCTATAGGAGATGCGTTGGTGATATTATTTGAAAGTTTTATGCGCATAGAGTTGAAGAATGCTCATTGGGCAGAGTTAACTCTGTAAAAAATCATATCAGCCTTACATATGAAGAGGAAGTTTTAGACATATTTTTGAGTTGAAATTGAGATTTCTCAACGAAATAATCAATTAATAGAAAGCCTACT